GAACTCATTCGTATAGAGATAAAAAAAAAAATTACAGTTATTCTTGATAAGGCGTACATGATGTTTTATCCAATGGTGAGGGCTACAAATAAATTATCCAATCTAATTACGACTTCAGTCATGACTTGTATTGCTACTTTACAGTTAGAAAATTTTCATTTTTATTTTTTTTTTAAAAGAGATATTCATAAATTTACGGGGACATTGCAAGTAGGACGACTAGGATTCTTTCACTAAAAATAATGAAATTATTTTAAAAAGAAGTAAATTTGATAAAAAATTATTTAATTTCCCCTCTGAAATACCCCCCCCCCCCCCCGAAAAGCAGAATTAAAATTTAAATGCAACTCGTTAGTTGTATGAAAATGATAATCGGTAATATTAATACGTCTTGACTCTCAAAGAGAGATAAATCCCAAAATTTTCACCGAATTCTATTAAAAAATTGGGAGTGATCTTCTCTTTGCAAACTAGTCACCCATGGATGTAGGCGAAAGCATGTCCACTTCTCTAAAGAGAATATCCCACAGTCATTCTACAAAAACATCACCAATCAAGAATTTTTTATGTCGCTTGCAAATTTACCGTTTTTTGTTTTGTGTGTACAAGAAATATAAAGAAAGGGTTAAAATACACAGGGATGAACCAGTTCTCACAAAGTCCAATGATTTTTTTGAAAGGAAACTAAAATAAATTACATAAACAGAAAAAAATAAACAAATAAATAAATGACGAAAAATCATAACGCAGTAAGTTACATGTATTAAATTTTGCTCAGATCCTTATAAACTTTAATATATTTATGAAAAAATACTTTTTAAATATGTTTTTTAATCTCTCCCCCCCCCTCTCTCTCTCTGTTAAATTTTGTTCGATAATTAATTATTTCTGTCGTGCGTTATACATTTCTGTAATCAGGCGTGTAGCTGCCTATACGCAAATACACAAGTGCGTACACATCATTTTCAGAAAAAAAGAACCAAAAAAAAAAAAGAGAGAGAGAGAGATATTCGGAGAAAAAAATCTCAGTAACATCCAATAATATTCGTGTTTCAAATTATTCTGTGTCATACTATGTCGATTTAAATTTTGAATTATCATGGTGTATGATAAAATTTGAAATCTTTTATTTAATAACTGCCAAATCCAAATAAATCATTCATTATTTTGTTATTGTTCTATCATACACTTCGGAGCTTCTGGGCCCTCACCAGCACGCACGTAGTATCAGGAGAGCCTCCCCCTACTTATTCCCAAAACCTTACCTTTTTCTATTGAAAATGTACATAGAAAGGGTGGACCCCCATTGTTTGTTGCACCATTGTTAAATCATGGTAATTTGGTAATGTATTAATAAAAATTGGGTTTGTGAAAGATGGACACCCCCCCCCCCCCTCAACAAACACACACACAAGAAATAGGACTCGAATTTTGACAATCTTCCTTTTTCGTCCTTGCTTGTCAAAATTTTTAAAGTTGTAATTTTTTCCTGGCTGGCATAAACTATATTACGTGCCTGACCAGAGCCCTTAAACACTTGGGGGGGGGGGGGGGCTCAAGACCCCCATCCCCCACCCAACCCCCTGCCGTTCTCTGCGTACACATCATTTCTATTCTGGCTACGCGCCTGGTAATATAACTAATTTAATGCTCTCTGGAATATTTTACACGACTGATGGATATAAATTTACACATAAGGATAACTACTGTATTGTGTACCTAACAGTTAATTCCTGACAATGCTGACATCCCATTGTATATTTTTTGTATATAATGAGCGTCAGTAAAAAATTAATTTTACTTAATTAATGTAAATGTTAACTTTTCCCTATGCAAGATGAATGTTAAAAAAACAATAAAATTTAATAAGATTAAAATTTAATTGAAATATCAATGCTCTCTTAAAAACATGGATGATCTGAGTAAATCTCTATTATAAATTGCATTTACAGTGTGTGTATGTTTGTGTGAGGGTGTGAGCGTGTGTGTGTTTGTTTGAGGATGGGTGTGTGTTTGTGAGGGCGTGTGTATGTGTGAGATTTTTTTCCTGTCAATTCATACAACACAATTATAAATGAAAGACGGGCAGTCTGTGCGTGCTTATTCGTGATAACCATGCTAGGGTCTTGAAAATAATTTAGGGAAGAAAACGTCATCTCATCCTCTTAAAAAAGGCGAAGCCTCTAAATCACCACCCACCCCCAATGCTAAAACAAAGAAATGATATACCCTTTTTCTTTTCTGTGTTTGTTTAAAAAAAAACTCCTTTAAATCTTTTTTAATTTATTACCAGCCACTTATTGAAATCACAATAATTTTCTTCTGACATGCCTTCTCCCCTACCAAACTGCTAAAATATGTCAACAGTCAAAAAAGAACAAAAACATCTTGATCTTTCATTGACCAACTGAATGCTGGTACACTGAAAGAAAGTGAAGAAGTGTATATAATTAAGATTGTTAAAATACGATTTTTTAAATTTAAAATTATCCTTTTTTTAATCATAAAAACTAAAACTTTCTAAATTACATTATTGTTGACATAATGTTCACGAAAATCAAAAAAAGATTTCTTCACTTTAACGAGCGATCCGAGCTATTCCCATCCTTTCCATAAAATTTGCGATTTGATTGGGGTTTTTTTGTTTTGTTTTGTTTTTTGTTTGTTTGTTTGTTTTTGTTTTGTTTTGTTTTGTTTTTGTTTTTTGTTTTTTACAGTTTAATCATTATACAGAGAGTTACAAGTAAAGACATTTCGAAAAGTGAAATTTTGATATTTACACCCCCCTCCCTGACTGAAATTCCTGGATTCCAGGTCCTGTAGATGAACTCTAGTTAACGGTAGATTTGTGTAACTGGCACACATAAATTGTTATGATGATGATGGTTATTATTATGCAAGAAAAGCAATGCCTTTATCTGTTTTTAATACGAATAATTCCACATGCAGACCATAAAACATTTCGGCGAATACGTGGTGTAGTGTGTTTCTCTACATCTCTTCTGTGCTGTCTAACGTAACGATGAAAAGGGTTAGTGGAGTGTTATCAAATTTACCGTTGATTAATTAAAATTAAGTCATAAAAACCGCGATCTTACATTTTATATAAAAAAAAAATTGGTGTAGAGCAGTTCATTAATTGGGGTTTTAATGAGTTTCAAGACATTGATAAAACTTCGCCATGTCAATTACTGAGTATATTAAGAAATTATGATTCTAGCCACTAGTTGCATTAATATATATATGATTTGAATATATGTATAAATTACACGCGGTAATACACTTATTCCTAGAAGCTGCTGCACAAAATAATTAATTAATAAAGATGTTGGATACAAATAAATTCCTTTCGATGGGAGATATATAACCATTTTATTTTTGGTATTTACCCTTTAATGGTATATAGTATTCAATTAAACATAATGCAATTACAATAACATCAGAAGCCATATCTAGAACTTTATCTGATGTAGATTCAGAAAGCATTGACGTTATACATGTATATACATGTAGTTTCAGGATTGAGGTTGAACTACCCTAGAAGCCAGTGTATTCATTATTTGCAGTGTACTAAAGTTTCAAACATATTTTATTGAATAAATCAAATCAAAAGGAATTGGAAAAAATTCTAACAACATACTATTTCCTCTCCTTAAATACATCAGTGTGTCATGGATGCAGAATGACTGACAAAACAAGGAATTTTACAAGAAATACCAATGGAATTTTGTTTTATCACACAGCAATGTCAATGTAATTATGTCACGTACTTCACATATCATATAATTATGCACATATCTTCTTCTTCTTCTTTTTTTTAATGTTTGTGCTATTTGTGTTTATATATCCATAGTTTTATTTAATACTGTTTAAAACTTATTTTGATGAATTTCGATGTTGTTTTTTCTCGTAGTTGGTGCATACCAATCAAAGTGCCCATATGTATAAAAGGCAACAATTTTCGAGATTAATATACAACATTTTGCTAGAATTAAGTAAAATCTATATCAATTAACAAATATAATTTACAAATCGGTGAGTTTACAAATTACAAAGAATTAAATTTTAAAGACGAACGATATAGATTTTAACTGAAATTTACACTCTCCAAAAATTCAGTTTTAATCCAACATAACAAAGTCATATGCACGAAGAGAATTCCCATATTTGGTGACTTTGGCGTAAATTTGTAATTTTTTTAAATTTCAGTCGTGAAATTGCAAGAGTAACCAAAAAATTAAAAAAAAAATGTCTTGGTTTGGGCAGAATATGCTTTGAATTTAGCTAAATTCTAAAGAATGTACCACTGACTTTCGTGATATGTTTACTACACCACAGGGCAAACAATGTCAAATACCAGACACGAAAAATCCAAATAAAATACTTATTTCGCCTGATTAGGTGAAATAAATTGCTATTTTGTGTGCCTAACACTCAAAACTTCCCTTCTTTTTTATTTTTTATAGTAAAACGTATTAAATAAATCAAGAATTTCATAAAATATTTTAAACAACAAAGTCGAGAGTTATGAGAAAAAATGGCGGAGCTTCAGTTTTTGTGTTTTCTTGGGTGTTTTCAATGTGTGTTTATATATCGTATTTTAGTGTTTTAGGCCTAGATATTGCACAGTACGATAGAATGATGATAGACAATTTACTCTCTAAATGAAAATCAACTCGATCCAGTCATAATTTTTAAACATTGATCTTCAAATTAGCACAAAGTGGTATCGCAGGTCAAAATTTTCTCGTTTCGATTCGATTTTCTGTTTATTTTTGGTGTGTCACAATAAAAATATATATTTATTTTGTAGGCAAAACATCTAACTTTCGATTAACGTTCATAAAAGACATATTGCTTTGTGAACAATAGGTTAAATAGGCCATATACTGAGGCAAGAAACACAAATATAGAAACACAGTAGACATTTTGTTAAATTCAAGCTCGCACTGTTGGGTGCTTTCTCAGACGTCCGCGCTCGCTTTATATAAAGCGCGCAGAACGATACGGCGTCATTATACGAATTTTCTCTGTGTGGAAAGGACGTACGAAATCTCGTAACTCAAAAAACGACAATGTCTGCTGCTGACGTTGCTGCACCAAAGGCAAAGAAGGCTGCCAAACCCAAAAAGCCTGCAACTCATCCAAAATACTCCGACATGATCAAGGCAGCTCTTACAGCTCTGAAAGAGAAGGGAGGATCTTCAAGACAGGCCATTCTGAAATACATTGTCGCCAACAACAAAGTTGATGCCGAGGCTGCTAGTCGCCATTTGAGAATGGCCCTCAGAGCTGGCGTAAAGAACGGAACCCTGAAGCAATCCAAGGGAACTGGAGCCTCTGGATCCTTCAAACTTGGAGAAAAAGCCGCCAAGGCACCCAAAGCAAAGAAAGCAGCGAAGCCCAAGAAAGCTGCCGTTAAGAAACCTAAGAAGGCTGTTGCAAAGAAGCCCGCAGGAGAAAAGAAAGCTGCGAAACCCAAAGTGAAGAAGGCAAAGTCACCTAAGAAACCTAAAGCTGCTGCTGAGAAGAAACCAAAGAAGGCCGCCAAATCTCCAGCAAAGAAGAAGGCACCTGCTAAACCTAAGGCCAAGAAAGCAGCAAAGCCCAAGAAGGCCGCAGCTAAGAAGTGAACAGTGCAAAGTGACTTGTAAACTATTTATTTTGTACATATGTACAGGGACTAACCATCTATAGACGGTAGTTGGTGTGTCACAATTTCATATTCATTGGACTTCAGATGGCAGCATATCATGTTCATAATGTTTGAAGATGTGTGAAAGTGTTATGTAAGCGGTGAATGGAAGTGGTCATTTCATCATTATTCATGTTCATTGATTTCATTTTACATCTGTTAACAGAGAGTGTTCTTTTTCCACTCTATGAGTGTGTATTTTCATCATTTTGTATGTGAAAAAAAAGAAAAAATCTTGAATAAAAATAAGAAAAGAATTAATTGTCACTGTATTTTATTGCTTAGTTTACCCAAGAACTGTTTGATGTTCTGTTTTAAATTTTATGGGTTTTACTGATACAGAACATATAAATAAGTTCTTGCTGAAACTGAGCACGTAGATTAAGAATATGGTATTCTGATTATAAAGAAAAATTGTATATTAACTTGCATTTCTGAATTTTAATTAATAATTCTTGAATCCACTGCAATTTTTTGGTAAAAATAGTATTTTATTCGAAACTTTTGAGGTAAAATTAAACAAGAAAAAGAAGGAAGCCTACTAAGTACGAAAAGTCTTAACCGACAGGCAAGTAAACTGCTTATTGAACTGAAAAATGCTATTCTGGACAGAACATCCTGTAATTGTGGATTTTCATTCAGGACTTGCACCATTCCATATGTTGAAAATGATGATCCGTTTCTTCAGCTATATGGGTCTTTTTATATTAACTAAAGGTGTGTGAACTTTTATAATAAATATAAAATTGAGTAGTTGTTGACAACGGAAATTACTGTAAAATAAAGTCAGTTGGAACGGGGGGGGGGATCACACATTAAATATGATTTTTGAAATAAAGTGTCCTACGGAATGCATCAGAAGCCACCAAAAATGGTACCCATTTATAAAGCACTCGGGGGAGGGGATAGCCCAGACACACCCACTCTCCGCTTGCCCCTTTTCAAAAATCTTGCGATGGTCAGTCCTGAAAAATACTGCATTTCATTTTTTGTAAAGCAGGCAATATACGTATGTATGGTTATACATAAATTTGATAAAATAACTCCTTTCTACAATTTTGTAACTTCTTGTAGCGTACCTGTAGGTTTATAAATTAAATTGTTTCTATCTACGAGTACAGTATTGCATGGTCTAAGAGTACTATTTTACTAACTCAGTAACTTCAATTAACATCTCTCTCCGCCACCCAATAAAGTTTATATAGGCCTCTGGTATGCATAATTGTATACTGCTAATGTGCTAGTGCCTACAATGTATTATTTTAATATTTAAAGCAATATGAGCTGTAACTTTGGTGTCAGAAATTTTGGTTGCAAAATTGCAATTAATTATTTCAAGGACAGAGAAAAAGAACATTTATAACTTCCTTTGTTCATATTTGCAATGGAAGAACTATTTATAAGCTTTGACTGGAGCAAAATTACATTATTGTCTCCCTGTACAATATTGATTCCTTTATAATACTATATATTTGATTGTACAGACGTCTTTCTTCTGGAACAATTAAATACTTTATTTTGGTCTAATTGATAATAAAGGTTTAAATCACATACAAATTTATCAAAATAACACATTTTAACAGCAAAATAAAATTCTCAAAAATGCAGCTCATATTGCTTTGAAATCTCCCATCATAAATTTCAACAATTTCAAGTTAGAGAGAGAAAAATGCTTATTGATTCATAAAGGAAGAAGTTTTTTTTCCACCATCCTATCAACAGATCAATTAAGGAAGAATGTTATATTTAATTAAACATGTAAAAGGAAATTGCGTGATATTTTAGATTCAATGGTGGATATATTCTTAAAATTGTTGTGGACAGGCGGCAAAATTTCAGGGATCGTAGGTACTCGGCCGTTTCCGTCGAAGCGAACGAGATCCGATTGTGCAAACAGAAGCGGGTTCGTCATTCAAGTTATTACAACATCCGGGTATTGGGCAAGAATGGAATATAGGTCATGCCCCTAATTTTTGTCAACAACAAACGCAAACTTACTGCTTTTAAATACAGACATGGCATCTCAGAGAACGTATGGTTTGAGATTTATGCCAGTAAGTACTTCTTTGATTCTAAGCTTCTCCGATTTCAAGAGATATATGTGGATTTTTTTTTGTAGTCGGGAACATTTTGTAACCCAACTTTACATTTATTAACAGGGTGAACCCCCAGGAACTACACGATTACTAAGGGTAAAAGTCTTAAATGGGGTCAATTTGGCTAAGAAAGACATATTTGGTGCAAGGTAATAAATTATGTATAAATTATATACCATTGTTTTAATAATAATAATAAAAAAAACTGTAAATAATGTACAAACACTTGTTCGAATTTCCTCGAACATTTCAAACGTTTCAATTCTAGGCCTGTTTAACAGAGCGAACGTTTGCGAGTGCTCACCAAAATTCCTTATACCTCCAACCAACAGATCTCACAAACATTTGCTCTGTTGAACAGTCCTCTATCTCAGTCTCCTTTGCAGAGTTTGTTCCTTTAGAAACCTCTGCAATGGGCTCACGTCAAGATTTTTGACATAAAGTAAAAAGCATGATATTCCAAGGATTATTTCAAATTTAACTTTTAATTCTAGCTCTTCTTAGTACACATCTACAATTAAGGGCAAACGTTAGCGCAGGCATTGAGTTCTTATTTTTGGATATCATCGTATAACAGCACCTGGCTGTGCCAACAAATTGAATACCAAGTGTTAAGGCGGTATGATAATTTGTCAGTACAGACAGATGCTGTTATAGGACCAAGGACATTCAAAAATAAGAATTCAATGTTTATATTTATATATATATTATATGTTTATTATATATTAATAATACACTACTCATAAATGGTCACAAGCATTAGAATTATTTTAATGGCATTCTTAATTGTGTTTTCAAATATTTTGTACATGATACATTGCAACAGGGACCTATATACTAACGGGAAAGGCAACTCTCGAAAATCTCGCGATACCTCATAAGTTGCGGGATTTCGTAAGTCAATTTTAATTAAACATATCTCTTTTGCTATCAAATATTTCAGAATAAAATCTTAAATTATCTATCAAAAAATTATTCAAGATTTGTTATAAGCACCGTTTTTACTCCTTATCTTAGAAGTAATTACGTTTATTTAAAAATCAGTGCGTGCCCCTGATCGGCCGTATTTCCGAGAAATCGCCGATTTGGTGGTTGTTTACTTAATATCTAAATTATTTTATAATATGTGCTTTAAAATTTATTAAATATCCATGCCGATACACAAAAAGAACAGATTACATTAATCAGAAAACAAGCTTTTTACTGGGAAAAAAAGTAGTTTGAAAAACTTGCAGTGTTGTGTGTGCCATTTTGGGTAAATAAACATGGCGCTGAAGGAGTTGCCTATCCCGTTAGTATATAGGTCCCTGATTGCAATACTTCGATGTTTTTTTTTATTTTAATTTTAATAAATATTGTGTGTGTTACCCATTTTAAAAATAGTGTTTCTAATAAGAGCCAGCAACCTGCAAAAGGAGAGGAAGTAGTAAGTTGATAGAACTTGTTTCTGATCCTTTTGATTGTCAATAACAACTGGCAAAATTAACCACTTGTACGAGAAATTTTGCTTTGAGATTACCATATTTGAGATTTTCTCTGGGGTTGGTACGTGAAATCCATAGGTTTATTGCCTCTACATTATCTAGAGTAAGTTCCCTTGAGTGCGCTCTTTTTCATGGAAGATTGGTATGATCAGTATTTTGCATACAACTTGAAAGAGTAAAAAATAGATAATTATTTTAATAATTTATTCCAACCTCCTACAAAATTCACAATTTGTGATGATAATTTTGGCTTTAGAGGATTTGACCTAGATTGACATGTGATTATTTAGAACTGGTGGCTTCATTGGCACCAGCTTCAGGTATCTACAACAGCCTACAATGTTGAAGAGGAAAATAAACTTTTTTTTTTCAATTCATGCCAGTCTTAAAGCTAAGTAAAGATTACAGCAGATATTTATAATATCTTGGCCAATGGAATTTGAGGCCTGATTTTTTTAGTCCCCTACCAGTGAAACTGGAGGGGGAAAAATAGGTTTCCTCCTCCTCTGTCCGTCTGTATGTCCGTCCGTCTGTCAGTCTGTCCCACTTGGTTATCCGCACTTTTTTCTAAACGCTTGTAGATATTAAGCTCATTTTTGGTATGTGAGTGTATCCTGGTTAGTTACAGTTCAAGTTTGGATTTTGTCCTGCTTCAATGATTTTTGAGGGAATAACGGCCTTTTTAATTTTTAACGGTTTTCCGCACTTTTTTCTAAACGCTTGCAGATATTGAGCTGATTTTTAATATGTGATTGTACCTTGGTTAGTTACAGATCAAGTTTGGATTTCGTACCTCTTTTATGATTTTTGAGGGAATTATGGCCTTTTTAATTTTCTAATTTTTAATTGAAAAAAAAATTGTACATTTTGTTAGCCTGAGAGGTAAGAAAAATAATTCAAAAATTCTTATTTTTGTTTTCCCCCTGGAGGCTTTGCCCCCCCCCCCTCCCTAGCCCAAGGTCCCCCTGCCAGTGCATTACCCTGGACCCACTGGGGCATCCCCCCAGACCCCTTGCTGAGAATTGGTTTCCGACTGTTTCAATTTTAATTCCTATTCCTTCTATTAAAAATCCTATTGAAAACACTGAATAGGGAAATAGAAATCGGTGATACATCTATCATAAAGTACATTTCTTCCCTCATTTGATGGAAAACTTATCATAATTGGAAATACATTCTAAAAATGTAAAGTTGTTCAGTAAAGAGTTGCGGAAGCTTGAGTTTCTGATCTTATAAATTTCGAAAAGATTGATAATTCCCAAATGACACTGCTTCATAAAGGGCCCACTCTATATAAACTGTGTGTAGTTTATAAATCAAAGTCATTGGAAAATCATGCCTCAGTTGGGTTCTGCAACTGAATTTATATTTCCATTTGTAAATGAGTGTTCTATATAGGATAGTAGCCTCTTGGAATACATAACATTATACATGTATTCACTCTGTATCATTATTATTTGCTTTAGGATGTAAATTTTTCTATCACTTTTATTTCAGTGATCCATATGTGAGGATTTCTTTGTTTAGAGGAGATAGAGAATCTGGACTCATAGACTCTGCCACTACAGCAACTATTAAAAAGGTAAAAGTTATACAATCATCATCAACTTCATTTCTTAAGAACTTGTATGCGTTCTATTTTAAATGATACAGTAGTCTTTTATCACCAATGCTTAATTGTATTTAACTCAAGGGTTAAAGTGGATTTCCTACAAACTTATCATTACTTGTCCAGGAAAAAAATGAAATCCCTGCTTATTTGTGTATTTTTCAGACATTAAATCCCTGCTTATTTGTTTATTTTTCAGACATTAAATCCTGTGTGGAATGAAGAGTTCTTTTTTAGGGTGAGTTTTGAAGGTTAACTGCAATTCATTATATTTCTTTTTAAAACTCCAAAATCATAAGTTGTAAAAGATTACCATAATAAGAATTGCACATAAATTAAATTTTGTGACATTATATATATGTTTATATTAGGGATGTCAAATCGGTCAATTTTTGATAATCGGTTACTCGGACGTTTTTCCGATCGAGTACCCGGGTACTCGGTAAAACTGAAAATACATGTGTGTTAATTTTCTTGAGCCCGGTTAAGCTGTGTTAAACCCCAAAGCTGTTTTTATCACGTTTATTAATGTGTATAAAAAATTGAGTAAAAGGGAAATTATTTTTGGTACTAAATTTATTTATCAAATAAACAAAAAAAGACACAATTAATACATCAAAAATGACAAATGATTTACAGTTTTTGTTTAGGATCTATTTCATCAACGCAAAAGGAAAACAATCTGTTGTGCAGGTTTTTGGTGATTAGACTAGCGAAAGGGAAGGAACGGACGTTGTTGGGATCGCTAGTCAATATTATTTCATATGTCAGTTGTTTCCCCCGTACACACTAAACTTACTACGCAAACTGACTTTCAACATTTTTTTAATCTTTATTTATTTCTAAATATTTCTTCACCCTTGAAGTGGGTAGCGGCATTTCTATGCATGTCCGATTTCGCTACCGTATATTAATTAAAAAATTTAAAAACGATTTGAAGATTATAGACCATACTTAAACTATGTTCACTGAAAACAATCATTGAAGCCATTCAAAAATTAAGAACCACGATAGGTGAGAACAGCTGTGTACCAGGTGATTGGTCACTAATTACTGTATATATACAGCCACAGGTGATAACGGGTGTTTTACAGGTATAGATGACGACACGCCAATTATCGTATGCATATTTAAATTATTGTTAAGTACAGGTCCACGTAACAATCAGGCAGCCTATATATTAAAGGTGATACATGGGGGTTCTCAGAAATTAATGATTTTTCACTCACAGTTTTTTCTTGGGCTATAAGCCATGTATGTGGAAGGAAAAATATTTGGGGTCATTGTTACTATGGAAACCTGGACAAAGAAATTTACCTAGCAACCAGCCAATTTTTCTTTGTAGATTGACGAAATTTCACTCATTTTGAAGGCTTTATACAAAATGATTTTTCACTCACAGTTTTTTCTTGGGCTATAAGTTATAGCCCAAGAAAAAACTGTGAGTGAAAAATCATTAATTTCTGAGAACCCTATGTATCACCTCCTGCCTGATTGTTAGGTGGACCTGTACTTAAGTTTTTTGATAAAAATATGTACTTTGAAATAAGAAAAAAATACACTTCCGAGTAACCGAGTACCATTTTTAGTATTCGATATCGGACGTTCAATCAAGTACCCGGTTAACCGGGTACTCGTTGACATCCCTAGTATATATATATATATATATATATATATATATATATATATATATATATATATATATATATATATATATATATATATATATATATATATATATGTATATATTTATATACATATATATATATATATATATCACTGAATATGGTGCAGTGTTCTGTGTTTCAATTTTAGGTTAACCCCAGGGACAATAAACTGTTATTTGAAGTGTTTGATTCCAACAGAGTGGTAAGGATGCATTGGTTGTATGTTCATGTATTCAGTATCCACAAGCAACATCAGACTTTATTCTAAGAAATGCAATTTCTTTCATGATAAGTTCTGTATCAGTTTTACATTATTATCAGTTCATAATCATTCGTACTAAGAACTCAAAGTATGCACAAATGTATAAGTACTTTAAACCGTTCTGTGTAAGAACTTATTGCTGTTATTAATTTTTCACGTACATGTAAGTTGGGACAGAGTTGTGCCAGTAACAAAGAATACACAGAAGAGTATCCACATACCAGGATTTCTCGGTATTTTAAATCAGTGTTATTTTTAGACCAGAGATGATTTTCTGGGCCTGGTTGAAATCCCGTTAGATCACACAGCAATACAAACCGAAGGTGACAATCCTATTGAACCTAAATCATACCTGTTAAGGCCTCGCAGGTAAGTCATATGTTTAAGTTTTTACTTGTGTGAAAGTGGTGACTGTATTTCTTTAAAGAATGCTAACAGTCTTTTGACAGATAACAAATGTATCAAAGCCCTACTTTCCTACAGGATATGAAATTCACCTCTCTGTGTGACCCACTGATGCCAGTACATATAAAACTCTGTTGCCCTTCCGAAAAACTTTCTAGATGAAGATATATTGCTTTCAGAAAACAGTTTTTAAGCAGTGTATATTGCTTTTAAAGATAAACATGAATTTATCTTTGTAATTCTATCATATTGACTATTTCGAAGCATATAAAGTTGAGGGAGGTAAAAGCAATTTTGCATTGAAAAAAAAAACTCAATGGGCCCAGCTTTTCATCCCTCCAGGAGTGACAGGATATGTAATTAATACATATAACAAATTATTTTCACAATGATCCGATTTTCTTTTCTCTTCAAGCATTTTTAGCTCGCAAAAAAATTAAACTCCCATTAAAATTGTCCCTGTTTGTGTACCGTATATACATATTTATTACCAAAAAGTGAAAAAACTCTATTAAATCACTGAAACAATCTAAAAAATAATATTTAAAAAAAAAACCCAGTGTTTTGGTATACATGTAATTATTTTCAAACATTTTGATATGCAGAGAAAAACTGTTATGTGGTAATGTTTATACCATTGTTTATCAGTGTTTTTATTTTCTTCAGAATAAAATATGGAATTAGACTAAACAAGACAATAAAGTTAAAGAATGGAAATATGATTTGATCAGGCATAGTGTTGATAGTTTTTGTCTTTTTATTTACTTTGTAGTTCTCGATCCCGAGTAAAAGGTAATTTAAAGATTTACCTTGGATATATACATAGTGAAGAAGATGGTGAGACGGAGCAGGATGATTCAGGGGCACAGAACTCGACCGACCCATCAGTGAGTATCTCTTCAGCTGACAATCAGAAACCAAACCTTCCTTGTAAATTTTAGGGATGCAATCGGTTAAATTTTTGTGACTGGTTAGTTGCAGTTTTTTCCCAGTAACTGGTTAATCAAACCAATAAGACTTGTTTGTAATTTTCTTTTGAATTATTCAAATTATTTTCTTATAAAGTTATTTGTAAAAATACAATTAAGGGGATGAAGGACACATGGTCACATGACTCTGTTTAACTACGTCATAGTCTCCGTTTATATAAGTGCAAAACGTGTAAAGCATCAGTTCTTGTATAATTTTTAAACATTTTTTTAAACTTTGATAACCATCTTATATCAAAAAAAATAAAAAGTTTTAAAATTCTTGTAAACATTAACAAATTATGAAAAAGATTGATCCACTCCTCTGTTTCCCTAAACTGCGCGTCCAACAAGTCGGTGACGTCATACACGATCTGTTAGTACAGCAAGATCATACTCAGTGAATACAGGGGCGGTATTACTTTGTGAAAACAGGTCTTAATCATTATATGATAAAATATTCTGAGACACGGGGAATACAAAAATTATTTTTGCATGGCTGATGACGGAAATCTTATGTAGGTATATCTTCTTTCGCTTATTTAGCTACATGTGACGTCATAGTTGGTTTTTCCCGTACTCGAGAAATGCAAAACATGACACGTTTTTGTCATGCTTATGTCCTCTTTAATGATGTCCTGTGCAATATTGAGGTCAGCTTCACCATTCGAAATTTTTACAGTTAATCAATAATTTGAAGACTTACATTTCAACGTAAATTTAAAAATATTGAATGATAGAATTTTTGGTAAATTACGTTTTTTGTTGTTAAAGTTGTCTTAAAAAGTACATAATTTTCGCTATCCAGATGCAATGTGATAGAAGAAACTTGCTTTTTCGAATTTTAAACCCTATTCATACTATGAAATATTTTAAAAGATACATGTCCACTTACATATTTTTTATCTTTGCTTAAAAAATCCCATTATGGACAGAGTAATGGGCCCGGAAACATGGAGAACTAAAACTCTACTTAGATACTGTAGGGCATAGTATTTGTCAATCAATATCTCTAAAATAAGGTTAGAAACCTAATGATATAACTGCTTTAAGATATGTGGGACATACTTAATAAGAAATATACAAAATATGAAAAAAATTGAATGACAGGTATTTTTTCACCTCAACGTCCTTCTTCCCCTTAAACCTCATTATCTCGAACTCGATGGGAACGAGAAAAAACAGAGAGATATCCGAGGATTCGAGATATCAGGGGTAAAATACTTAAAGAAAAATTGGTTGGGACTTCCAAATCACTTCAACATATCCATGGTATTTGAGATATCAGTGTTCCAAATATCGAAGTTCAACTGTACTAATCTATGATAATCAGATTTTTTTTTTTTACTTTTTAAACAAAGTAAGACAACCATTTTTCTTTTCTGCAAATTATTGCTATCAAAGTTAAATCATATTTTCATTGACATTCCGGCTGCTTACGCTTCTCCACTTCTAGTGTAATACCTTTGTTTAAAAATGATTTCATCAACCACTGATGATGACAGGCAACTTGCACTTCATTCACAAAAAATCAGTCTTTCGAAGAAAAGGTACACGTATATCACCAAGTCAATAGTGGCATTTCACTGAATGGATAGAAAAGATTCAAAGTGTTTTGAAAAATAACAAATACCATGTAAAGCATTGTTGATAAAAAATTATTGTTTGCTTTTAACACAGAACAAAATGCTTTTAAACAGAACAAAAATAATTTGCATCCCTGGGATTTTGCCCTGTGCAAATGACCTTGGTACAGATAACATGCGCAGTGAATTCAGGCCCGTAGGAAGCAATTTCAGTTTGGGGGGGGGGGGGGGGGGCACAGCCATACATTTTCAGTTGGAGGGGCACTATCAACTACCAAAAATTCTTTGACAAGCAAAAAAAAAAAAGAAAAAGGTCATCAGGCATTTTTATTGAGGGGACACAAGCATATAGTAGCTATGTTTTCTACAGTAATCTATATATCAGCAAAATTATTGGGGGGGGGGGGGGGCACGGCCATGGAATTTAAGCACAGTCGCATCCTGTATAAGCTTCTATGATTCCTGCTTTTAAAGTAATTGCAGTATGAAGGCGTACATCCACATCCTGTGGTTTTCTCCAAATGGTTATCTTTTCTTTCAATATTGTCAGTTGGCATGTCCATTCTTTAGGTCTATTATTTGAGGTATTGGGACTGTTTGGACATTTGTTGTAAAATCTTATAAAGGAGTAAAACATTCCTTTTAATCACTTTGATAAGAGATTTTTTTATTTTTATATATCTATTACAGTGGGAGATGGTGAATCTAGACAATGCCTTGGATCAACTTAGAACAATCTCCTGCACAAATGATGCCTCAGGGGCATCAGGGCCCACTAATGAGGAGGAAAATGAACCCCTTCCACCTGGATGGGAGGTCAGAACTCACCAGCCTACTGGGAGAAAATACTATATCAATCACAACACCCGCAAAACACAGTGGGATCCACCTCCCAGGTATCAGTTACATTAGCATTGAAAAAGATATTTAATTTTTCTGATTAATACTTTGAGAATGGTTTATGGCTTGATTGGGTATAGCTCTACTTGGTGAAATACAGAAGAGCTTATGCAATGGAAGGTGTCCTATGTTTGTGTATCAGTGTATTATGTCTGAAAACAAATATTAAAATTTTACTTTTCTAAAGTTACGGCCCAGTTTCAGTAAAACTTGACAACTAGACAACACCAAGATTCAAAATTCTGAACACCAAGATTTTTGTTATAGTTATGCAGGACAGTTAAGGTGCACAATGGAAATATCAGCAATTTTGCACTTATATAGGACAATATAATTAGGTGAAAAACTACATTTTGAGGACGATTAGGTTTTCTTAGTATTTAAATTTGTCATGTGATGCAGCAGTCACATGATTTTGGCAAATATACTTTAAGTATTAAAGGTACTTGGACACAGATTTGAAGTTAATATTTTCCCTAATTTTCTGTATAATTTCTTGACTTATATTTTGCTATAACATTTCATACTAAAATATAATAAAAGTCTTATTTCATCTCGAAGTTATCAAAACTTCGAATTTCTGGACGCATTGGATTGACACATCCTTGCACTTTCACATATTTTAATTTTATTCTTAATACTTAAGAAAAGTGGCAATTTTGTTGTATATTGATGAAAAATATTAAAACTATAACCCATAAAATTCAAAGTAGAAATGTTCGAAAGCAAAACCCACTCACAGTATTGTAAGTCCGTTCTCAGTGGTGTGTGCAGAGTTTAACAATTGAACACACCCGATGAATCGTAAACATTAACAATAACAGAGCTCGTGCCCTGTTTACAAAAACAGTTTACGTTTCAAGGATGTGTTCAATTTGTTAAACTCTGTACACATCACAGAGCACGGACTGACAATACTGGTGAGTTAGTTTTGCTTTCGAACAGTTTTATTCGGAATTTTCTGGATTATAGATGTAATATTATTCATTAATACGTAACAAAATCGCTTCTTTTCTTAAATATTAAGGGTAAATTAAAATCCGTGTAAGTGCAAAGATGTGTTAATCAAACGCCTCCCGGAATTCGTAGTTTCAATAATTTCCAGATAAAATAAGTTTTTAATTATATTTTCCTGTGAAATGCTATTGCAATATATAAGTCGTGATATTATGCAGAAAATTTGAGAAAATATTAAGTTCAAATCTGTGTCTAAGCACCTTTAAGGTCATCTACATTGACTATAAATTCCAATATTCCACAGGCATAATTTTCACATGATTTTGGCATATATACTTGAAGTATTAAGGTCATCTACAATGACTATAAATTCCAATATTCCACAGGCATAATTTTCACATGATTTTGGCAAATATACTTTAAGTATTAAGGTCATCTACATTGACTATAAATTCCAATATTCCACAGGCATAACAAAGTTAAAGTTTGAAGTTGAGTGTATAAATATTTTCAACACATTTTGTGGTTTGTGAAAAGTTCTGCAATTCTATATAATTTCTACTATTTAAGTACATGTGTATTAGAATTATTAGGTTACCTAAATCACTCAGGTGACCTTTTTCTATCTGTTTTTGTCCATCATCATGCAGATGTGTGTAAACTTTTCACATTTTCAACTTCTTCTCAAGAACCATTGTACCAATATCAATCAAACTTGCCACAAAGTATCAAATGAAGGGCAGTGCCCCCTTCCAAGGAGAGATAATCAAGAAAAGGCAAAAATAAGGTAGCTCAAATTGATATATCTTTAGAAAGAAACACATTCTGCATTAAGGCTTGATAATTATCTAGTAAGAATTAATTTTCTTAAAACTGAAATGTCAAAATTAGCAGATATTTTTTAGTACCTTGATTATCGAAGTGATTATACAAATAATTGCTGTAAATCTTCATTTTATTTTCTAAATATTAAAGTCAATTGATCACTTTTTATTTTATACATTGTACATTGTGTAGGGGACAAAGAACAGGGAGTACATCACTGCCACCTGACTGGGAGGAGAGACAGGACTCCAATGGACGAATTTATTACGTTAACGGAGTCACACGGGCCACACAGTTTGAGAGACCTACAGGGTAAACTAATTCCTACCATCAAACAAAGCATATTTCTGCATAACCATTTTTTCAAAAATTGAATGGTTGGATATTTTATACCTTAAAACACACACACACACAAAAAGAGTAAACATAAGTGAAGGCTTCTATTCTTTTTAAGACATATAAATTAGAGTTGTTTTTGAGTAACCCAAGAAGAAAGCACTTTAATTCAAAATATCTTGTCAGAGGAATTAAGTATGAATTTAAGCAAGGTTTGTTGAACAGTTGAGTAAAACAAAAAGTGATAAAATGACTTATTTAGAAAATAAAATGAAGATTTATATATTTTGTAGGGAAAATCAAGAGAGCCCTTCAGAGGAGGCTCAGCACAGAAGGAACGAGGCGGCACAGTTATTCCGTTCACGTCGTCATGTCAGCGTCGAGGACACTATTAGTATGCACAGTGAAATGGCCTTGCCAACAACCGCCACAGAGGTTAGGGCACAGGAGGAACCCCAGGAACGGAGAGAGGTATAGAACTAGACTGTTTTATAGAACCTTTTATTCCTAAAGTCTGTTTAAAATATATTATTTTAGTATTTTTTTTTTTTTTGCAAATTGTGTTAACAATTTAGGCATTTTCTCAGAAAGAGAATCTCTGTTACTACATTTCTGTTCTGTCTAAGGTGTCATTAAAACAGGATGAATCGGGAGCTATGTATTTTAATTTTTCTACAATGAAGCAAATAAATTGACAATTTTTACTGGCTATATAAACAAGAAGATAAAAAACACACACACACACAAAAAATATATGTATATAACAAACATGTACATTTAGTTGACTTAATTTAGTGAAACTTGAAATATCACGATACATTATCAATGACAAAATTACACTACTGCATAAAATTTTACAGCGACGATCAGCAAATGTACGTGCTGCCTCAATAGACATTCCAACAGTAAGTCAGCAGTTGTATGTAAACCACTTCATTTGGTATAAATCATGTTTATAAGGTAAAATAAAGCAAAGGAATGTCTGAACAATTCATAACATCAAGGGAGGGGATATGGGACTTCAAAATTTTCATTTTCTCAATATAAACATGATTTATCAATCATCCAAAAAAATGTTGTATTATTGCATCTCAATTTCCAAGCTCAGGCTAGAATGCATTATAACTGACAATGCTGTGTAGTTGTTACCTTCTGTATACTTACACCTGTAAACTAAGCTAAGGAAACTGGGTATCAAAAAATGAGCATACATTAATATTGTTTTAAATGATGTAAATTTTCTGATATGAAACAATGCATGACTGACATTAACTATGTATATGCAGTGAAATTATGAGTAATTGAATAAATTGGAGGAAATATTACTTGAAAATCTTGTGTGCTGCAAAATTTGATATAATGTACTCTTGCATCTATATATATATAAAATGAGTATATAAAAATGTGTCATAATGTGCAGTAGTGTTAACTTGATATAATAATAAAGAAGTAAAAATTACACTAAATGGTTCTTTAAGGAAATGCATATTACTTTAACCAAACAAGTATAATTTCCTTTCATAGATTGTACAAGGTACATGTATATATAATATTAAGGTATACATTTAAAAAAAAAATGTTTTTGCACAAAAATGCACCATGCATTGCCACTTCTGTTTGAATAAAATGTCATTTTTAGCTCTACTGGTCAGAGACCAGAAGAGCTTGTGCGATAGTAAGGTGTCCGTCGTCCGTCCGTCTGTCTGTCTGTCTGTCCGTCTGTCTGTAAACAATTTTTCAAAATGCTACTCCTCCTACAATTTTGGTCTGATTTCAATATAACTTTGCACACAAGTAGACTACACTAAGATACATAATTTAGTGCATCGGTTTTTGATTTCGATGAACGGTGTTGTCATGGTTACTAAAAATAGAAATTTCTGTGAAATTCCTTTAAAACATTACTCCTCCTACAGTTTTGGTCTGATTTCAATATAACTTGGCACACAAGTAGACTACACTAAGATACATAATTTAGTGCATCGGTTTTTGATTTCGATGAACGGTGTTGTCATGGTTACTAAAAATAGAAATTTCTGTGAAATTCCTTTAAACGCTACTCCTCTTACAGTTTTGGTCTGATTTCAATATAACTTGGCACACAAGTAGACTACACTAAGATACATAATTAAGTGCATCGGTTTTTGATTTCGGTGAATGGTGTTGCCATGGTTACTAAAAATAGAAATTTCTGTAGAATTCCTTTAAAAGGCTACTCCTCCTACAGTTTTGGTCTGATTTCAATATAACTTTGCACACAAGTAGACTACACTAAGATACATAATTTAGTGCATCGGTTTTTGATTTCGATGAACGGTGTTGTCATGGTTACTAAAAATAGAAATTTCTGTGAAATTCCTTTAAAACATTACTCCTCCTACAGTTTTGGTCTGATTTCAATATAACTTGGCATAAAAGTAGACTACACCAAGATACATAATTTAATGCATCGGTTTTTGATTTCGATGAACGGTGTTGCCATGGTTACTAAAAATAGAAATTTCTGTGAAATTCCTTTAAAACGCTACTCCTCCTACAGATTTGGTCTGATTTCAATATAACTTGGCACACAAGTAGACTACACTAAGATACATAATTTAGTGCATCGTTTTTTGATTTCGATGGACAGTGTTGCCATGGTTACTAAAAATAGAAATTTCTGTAGAATTCCTTTAAAACATTACTCCTCCTACAATTTTGGTTCGATTTCAATATAACTTGGCACACAAGTAGACTACACTAAGATACATAATTTAGTGCATCGGTTTTTAATTTCGATGGACGGTGTTGCCATGGTTACTAAAAATAGAAATTTCTGTGAAATTCCTTTAAAACGCTACTCCTCCTACAGTTTTGGTCTGATTTCAATATAACTTGGCACACAAGTAGACTACACTAAGGTACATAATTTAGTGCATCGGTTTTTGATTTCGATGGACGGTGTTGCCATAGTTACTAAAAATAGAAATTTTTGTGAAATTCCCATAAAACATTACTCCTCCTACAATTTTGGTCTGATTTCAATCTAATTGGGCACACAGATAGAATACATGATATGTATGATACATAATATGTATTTCTGTTCTTTTATTTCGGTGAATGGTGTTTTCATGGTTACTAAAAATAGAAATTTCCGTGAAATACTTTCAAAACGCTAACCCCCCTTACAGTTTTCATTTGATTTCAATATAAATTGGCACAGAAGTAGACTACATTAAGATACATAATTCTATTTATTGTTGCATGTTGCAAAGTTTCAAATCCAAGTGCTACTTTTCTTTTGTTATACATACAGACCAGTAGAGCTACAGTCTCATCAGAGACTTCTGGTTTAAGAAACTTACAGAACTTCAACCATCTGCATTGTACTTTTTATGCATCATTAGAATTTATGTGTACAAATTTATTTAAAAAAAAAAAACAACACCAAGGACACATTATTTTATTTTTGAATACTCCTTTCACTTAGTTGAAATGACTTCAATTTCTCAAACACATAATACGTGTAACAATTTCTTATTTCTTATATATTCCGGTGTGTGTGTATAGATAGATAGATAGATAGATAGATAGATGGATGGATGGATGGATGGATGGATGGATGGATCGATCGATCTTCAACTTTAAATGTGTGATAGATTTGTTTTTTGGAATTGATGCAGAATAAGGAAAGTGTATAGTTACATATATAAAAAGGCCATTGCTGTTTGCATGTTAGATGTCTTTAAAACACTGCGAATGACCATCTTCATGGATTTGACAAAAACTAGCTTTGTGTCTAACTCATTCAAATGATTGGCATGCCTCTTGTTGAGATTTCTGAATGAAGGAAAGGTTTTCTTTTATCTTTTGCAATGATAAACATTTTATGCCAGTAATTATACATTTAGTTGTGAATGTGGTCTCATTACATACAAACAAGTATGCTACTGGCCAGAGGTTCAAGTTATTAAGTTAATCAGAAATCAAGGAATTGTAAGAGTTACAAAAAGCCTATAGAGCATGTACCATATTTTGTTTCTTTTCAAGGGGTTGGAAATTGTCAGGAATTTATCTCAGTTTTAGTCATTTTATGCTTAAGTGATATGATATTTGATAATTACCCAGATAAAATTGTGTATTGCTGGATACACTGCTTAATTTTTTTTTCAAAAATAAAACAGTGCACCGCTTGGATTGATTTATTGTAATACATTTATGTAATTGCAGAGGTAGTGTTTAGTAAACCAAATTGCTTTTCATGATTACTGTATATACTTGCCTATAAGTCAGGTTTTTTGGGTGTTAAACTTTGGTCCAAAACTCTTTATCCGACTTATAAGCGAGTTATAAAAAGATTGGTATTTCACCAGGTCAATCCCTCTAATTTAAGCTTAAAAAATACAACTGACTTATAGGTGGACTGACTTATAGGTGAGTATATACGTTAAGTAGTTAAGGAAAATTTTTGTATAGGAAGCATATAGAGGTGCTTGATCAAACTGAAAATAATTTTGATAATACATGTGTAAAAGAGTTTTTAGGTCACATGAGTCACTCAGGTAACCTATTGCTTCTTCTTCTTTAGCTTTTATATTGCAATACCTGAGCCAGTTTCAACCAAATTCAGTAGCCAGCATCTAAAAATAAATAGAAACAAATTTTTTGCATTTCATTGTCCCAGCCCCTTTTGGTCTGAGGAGCAGAGGTTGAAACCATCAAACTTTATGCAATCTTTTTTAAAATCTTATTCTCTTGCAAACTAACAAATAGTTAGTCCTCTACCAGATTCTTTGGATTCAGGCTCAGTAGCTAGCTAAGTTTGTCAGATATAGAAAAAGAAAAATGTACTACAAGTATCTTCTTTATGTATGGACATTTACATGACTAGACAGAGAGTCCTGTAACAAAATTATACAATTCATGTTCCCTAGATTCTGAGTTTGAACCCAGGGTGAAGTGTAGTTAGTCATATGTTAAAAATACATTAGAATTTTGAAATTTGTTTTTCTTTATTCATGGACATCAAATATAAAAACTATATGATTATAATGACATATATAAATATCATGTTATTTATCAGCAAAATGGAGTTCATGACTTTGAAGTTTTATTTGAAACACAATGTGTCTTGACTGGTTTTCAAGGTATATGAATTTTTAAAACTGAATGATTTTGTTGATTTGTTTTAGATAAGTTGTACTGTACATACATTACATATTTTCCATATACTCTGTCCATTTATATACATGATAGTTTGATGTTCATGACAACTAAACCATATGTAGTACCAGTAGTATGAAATGTGTAAAAGTTGCATTGTCCATGCAGCTATTTATCCAAGTAATTGTTTATACATATGGTTACATGTACTTTGTGAATGTAATTTATATCAGTGATTTTTTTAATCAACATAATTTTCACTTATAAATTTTTTTCAGGCTCATGCAGCTAGTGCAGAAAGCAATGAGGAGCCCCTCCCCGCTGGCTGGGGTATGAGTGTAGCACCCAGTGGACGGGTGTTCTTTATCAATCACAACAACAGAGTGACCACATGGGTAAAACTAATCTAAGTACTCTTTATTTGAAACTAAATAACATTTCAGTATAGTCTTTCTTTGTATTGGGTTTGAACATGTTGAAAGCTTATTTCTGCTTGCTGATTGACAATTGCCATTATCTGTTTTACTGTTATATCTACATTGTGGTTTTGAGAATTTGTTAGAAGCTGATACCTATGAACAATATCAAGGATGACAATATTTAAACACAGTGTCATTGTTTTATGCAGGAAGACCCCAGAAAATCCCAGAATCAGAGAGCCAGTGTACGAGGTACTGCTGATACACCAGCCCTCGTCAGGAGGAGTTCCTCCAATGAGGATCTTCTACAGAATCTAGGTCCCCTACCTGTAAGTATTTCTCAGAATCCAAACTTCATTCCTGACATTTAAAGGTGCCCAGAATGTAAGAGGTCTTTTACGTACAGAATTAAGGGCTTCTGTCTGTCAGGAAAAAGCAGAAGCAAAGACAAATATGCTGTAGAAATTCAGTGATACAGAATTATAAAGAATAGGCGATTTTACGGATTTACTGAGAGTATGTACAATTATATTGTAAAATTGCACTTGAATGAAATCGTCTATTTTTATTTGACAGCCTGGTTGGGAAGAAAGGACTCATATGGATGGACGAGTTTTCTATATCAACCACAGTATGTTATATGATAATGAAGCATGTTATATTACATTTTTCTTATGTAGAATCTGTTAGAGCTGTAATGTTCCTTATAAATTTAAGTGTAGAAGTGCATGCATACTTAAGGGTTAATTTATTGATGTGCATGCATGTAATCTCTGTGTTAGTAACTTAGTATACAGAAGTTTTGATTTGGTTGAAGTAAATAGTAGTATTTACAAAAATAGACTTTTACGTGATAATATACTCCATAGGCATGGAAATTACAATGCACCAGGGTACTTCTGTTTGATTTCCATGTCTGTGTAGCATGTTGTCATATCTCTGTTTTGGGGCAATCTACCCCAAATCGGTCTTTATTTATAAGGATGATTTTTTTTTAAAAATGTGTAATTGTGGAAATTTAGCAGATAATAATGATATATTGATATTTATCTTAGATAACAAAACAACACAGTGGGATGATCCAAGGTTACGACAGCTTGGTGGTCCTGTAAGTCTCAATTGCAACAATAAGTATCTATCACTTCCAACAATCAGTCAATATTTATCCATAGCAAAATAACAAAACGAAGATATTCATTGCTTAAGAATACTCATGATACTCATGTGATCAAGTCTGTGAGCCTATGCTCTTTGTGTCATCTACTTTCTGTTTATTGTAGGCTGTGCCATATTCGCGAGACTACAAGAGAAAATATGACTACTTCAGGTCCAAGTTACGAAAACCTGTAAGTTGTTAATTAATTTTACAGAGCTTGGTGTTAAAATTTTGGATGTAGTATCAGTCAGTAAAATATAAGCCAATAGTCATCTAAAAACAGACATTTGGATTTCTTAGTTTTAGGGGGGAAAAAAGACAATGATAAACAGTTAAGCCATTTTAGTTACATTAGCATTTCTAATTAACTGATGTTAACACTGCATAATGAGTTTACTGGCTCATAATATCATATCCATTGTACAAAGCTGTATCAATGAAAGCACTAATGAATACTTTTATGTTGTTATTTGATGAGAGTTGAGAAAATTATCAATTTAGAACATAGAAATCCAGAGGTGCAAGCACGTACCTTTGTGTTTTTCTTCAATGGCCAGAGTCTGAAGCTGTGCTTCAGATTACATGTCAGACACGTAAAACAGATCCGTAGATCTATAACTCTATAAATTTAAATATAGATGAAGTAACTGATTCAAATGGGATTTGGATTTATCTTCCTTGTTTTTGGATGTGACTCTATAGTTTTGTTATTATAATTGGTAGAATTCTCAATTCCCTCAGGTGAGTTGAGCCTTACACTAATGTCTTGTTGCTGCAGTCTTGTTGCTTCTTTTGAAAAGCACATTCTTTCACATCTGTTCACGGACTAAAGGACAAAGTGACAAAATTGTTCCATTTTGAATGTAGAATTTACTGACCACAAGCTTGCTCCAAAACAATATTCACATATTGATTGATATTATAATCATACACATTATATCAAAAGATAGAGCTGGGGCAGACCTGTGCTCCATTACTTTTAATCAAATTATCGATGTAAAATACACTTTTTTCTCTGGAAATCATTAGAATTTTGAATTTACATCATATTGTTGACATCTTGATGTCATGGCCGATAATAATAGATAATGCTGTCAAATATTCAGATACCCCCTGGTTTAGAACATAACTATAGATTTCTCTATCGAAGTTTGATATTTGGGGCAGATATTGGTCATTACAGAATGTAGTCATTTGTTCAAATGAGGGGCCACGCCCTCTTTGAAGGGAAGTTAATTAAGAGATAATCAAGAAATAGTAAAAAATGGGTGTGGTCATTTAAAAAGCTGATGAAGAACCACTGGGCCAGAAAATATGAAACTTACATATGAGTTTCTCTTATACGTGACATATCTTAGATTCATATTTGTTCATATGTCCTTCTCCTCGGGTTAGGTTAGGGCTAAAACTGAGGATAAAATTTTACATAAGCGTATAGGCAAAAAAAAAAAATCTTCTCCACAACAGCAAGACCATGTTAAACAAATTGATATTGAAGCATTCCGGGGTTGTATGGATTCCAGTTCGTTTAAGTCATAACCATTTGGTACTAGGATGGGGTCATAATGTGGGGTTTAGCATTAAAATTTTTGACATTAAATTAATTTTCACTCGTGCATAACCCGAGAAGACCTTTTTAAATGCACTATGATTTTTGACCTCATGATCTTGATGTTAAAGTTTGACCTACTTGTTTAATTTTCATCATAGCTTTTGTACATGAAGAGACAGGGCTTTCATATTTTTACATGTACATTACCTGTGATGAAACCTTTCCAAATGTGTTTTTGACTTCATGACTTGACTTTGAGGTTTGACATGGTTTTCAGAAACTTAAAACTTTTGCACCAGAACATACTGTATTACAAAAGTTTAACACCTTTTTTGTATGAAGGACAGATGAGATAGTTACGATATGCCGTAAATCAGCCAATAAGACCCAAAAGTGGGGGACCAAAATTTTCTGAATTTGCTTGTTCATGAGAAGAAAGAGAAAGAAATATTATAAAATTGAAATATTATAATATAAATGTTGTAAAACAAGTATTTGTAAAAATAATGGTAATAATAATAACATTACTTCTGTGTTAATTAATCTATAATTTGTTGGCATTCATTGCTTAACATTGCATAGTAAGACTTGATTTTTGCATACATTTTGAATACTAACAAAAGTCATAATTTTCACAACATTAATTTTAATAACTTTCCAGGTCCCCTCCCACTAAATATCATTTTTAAAATGTGTTGGTCAGTGTGAAAATTTTAGTGGCATGGTATTTACTCTGAAAATAAAAGGACAATTTGTGCATAAGAATTTTGCAATTGAATGAGTTTAGGATAAGGTACAATGAGTAATAATTACACCTTGACTTTTTTTCTTCAACTTTATCCTTCATGGTTGCATACTAACTAGCAATTTCAATATTAGAAGTTCTAATAAACATTAAGCTGTATCAATGACAAAGGTGGGTTTTTTTATCTATTTTATTAAAAAAAAATTGTTGTTGCAATTTTACTTTGGGTATTTTTTGAAATCGAACTGCAAATATTTTTAAACATTTAGATGAAAAATTTCCAGAGTAAGATGTCAGTAATTACTGCTGTATAAAATGTCCATCATGTTTCCATTACAAGTTTGTTATACCTCCCCCCCCCCCCCCCCCCTACAAACGAAGTTTGGGGGGTATATAGGAATCACCTTGTCCATCTGTACATGCATTCTTGTTGGGGCTATAACTTTGTAATGGAGAATGAATCATTGGAAGCTCATACTTGGTACAAAGATTGCTTATGACCCGAGGGTGCAAATTCAAGGTCACTGGCAGAAAAAGTATAAAATTCTTGTCTGGGTTGTATCTCTGTTATAGAGAATTAGTGGAAGCTCACACTTTGTACAGAGATTGTTTATGACATGAGGGTGTGTCATAACCTTGACCCAAGATCATTGTGGCAATTTCAAGGTCACTGGTACATGTATAAAAGTGTAAAATTCATGACAGGTTAACCTACTTTTCAATATTTCATATACAGTGCAACCTCTGATCAAATGTGAAAATATATAATGATAGAACTGTTTTTGAAGATTGTAAAACAAGTTTTAATTTTTTGGATTGAGGGGTGTGCTCATATTTTAATTCTTTGATGAAGATGCTCAAATACACCTAATACTGCCAAATTCAAGAACATTTCAATTTCACAAACCCTGTACTCCCAATACCTGAACTCTCAAGGAAACTTTGTCATTGGAAATTAAAGCACAAGCTTCTACTTTCTATTGGTCTTAGAAATGGGACAGAGGGTGATAGTAAATTAATTTCATAAGGACAGGGCCATTTTATATGTAAAGTGAACCTAGCTATTTCATAGCTTTATATATAGGTCTGCTCCCACATACTATTGCAATGGCAGTTTTAGAAAATTTGATCTTAAATCTTAGATGTTTTGTTGTAAAGGAATGAAATGTAACATACAGGCAAGTAGAATGATTGCACTTAAAATATGTTAATATTTTTCTTGCAGAATAATATTCCTAATAAAGTGGATATCAAAGTGTCGAGGGACCGCATACTGGAGGATTCTTATAGAGCCATCATGTCACTAAAGAAAACAGATGTACTCAAAGCAAGGTAGATAAGAATAACTAATTGTACTTAAAGTAAGGTAGACAAGAATAACTAAATGTACTCAAAGCAAGGTAGACAAGAATAACTAACTGTAAGTAAGGTAGACAAGAATAACTAAATGTACTCAAAGCAAGGTAGACAAGAGTAAATGATTGTACCTTTTATTAGCAATAAAAATTAAAAATTGAAGGGGGGATTAGATTTAATTGAAGTAAATATTATTATCCTTTCATGAATATTTAAATGACAGAACATAATTTCATTCAAAAATTAATTTCAAAAAATTTAGACTTTGAACATTTCAGGAAACATATTGAAGATGTATAAGTACTAGTGATTAAACTTTTATTGAACTGTACATATGATAATTAGAGGCTGCTTTTATATGATATGACACTTACTGAATTATATAACCTTTTGTATACCTTTTTATGAAAGTGGTATTGAATTGTATAACTTAAAAATGTTAATGTTCAATACAGCAATGCTGTACTATCTTACTGACACTGTTTCATTGCAGGTTGTGGATAGAATTTGATGGGGAGGTGGGGCTGGATTATGGGGGTGTGGCCAGAGAGTGGTTTTTCCTGCTGTCTAAAGAAATGTTTAACCCTTACTATGGCCTCTTTGAATATTCTGCCACGTAAGTGTTAGTTTACTAAAATGATAATCTACTGAGTACACATGTACCAGTGCTTCATAGTATATTTATTGGTGAATATACATTTCTTAAAATTTTTATTTCACTCAAAATGTTTCCATTAACCTTTTTCCTCTGCAGATAAAGAACTAGGTTCACTTTATCCATAAAATGGCCCTGTCCTTATACCAATTAACTGACCAAGTCCTAATATCCCATTTCAAACATCAATATAAATCAGAGACTTAGTGCTTTCATTTTCTATAAAAAAGTTTCTTCTGAGAGTCCAGGTATAGAAATACAGGCTTTGTGAAATTGAAGTGTTTTTGAAATTTGATGAAAATGCATGTTTTTGAGTACCTTCAATAAAGAATTTAAATATGTGCCCACCCCTCGATCCAAAAAATAAAACATGGATTATAATGTTCTAAAACGGTTTTTTCATTAGATAATTGAACATATTGGATTGGAGGTTAAGGGGTATGCAAAAATATTGAAAAGAGCCTGATTTTTGGCTATTTTTTAAGATAATTTTAAGATAATTTAAGGATTTGAGGAAAATGACACAATTAATGACATCACAATACAAGGACTTACGAGAAAATTACGTTATTTTTTAAAGATATGCACTCACCAAGGGTCCAAGTGTAATTCATTGTATGTTCTACTAAAACTGAACAGTTTTGATTTGTCGGAAATTCACAGGGCCAAAAAAGGCCCTAAGTGAACCTTGTTCTTTATGCTTTGTTCTTGAAAAATGAAAAGAACTCGACCCACAATATGCCTTATTTGGCCTATTAAATATGAAAAAATTGAAGTGGGCTTTATAATATATGTTTTTGATAATTCTCACCCTAGAACATTAACACATTTCACATGTGCAACATTTCCGTCAAAACCGGATGTTTATTATGACAAACTAAATTCTAAACCTCACCGTGGTTCGAGGTTTTCCGGGAAAATGCCAAAATTTTACACATTTAATCGTGATTTACACATAGAGCACACTCGTTAACGCAAAATATTAAAACAGAATAATAACTATTCCAATGAAAATATTTTGCGGTAACGAGTGTGCTCATGTTGAAAAAAAATAAAATAAAATTTCAGTGCGTGTGAAAAATGCTATGGCCACGATCCATCATATGTGTCTTCGTGTTTTTCACAAACTTATAGGATCGTTTCAAGAGATGTATAATATTGATAATGTAAGTGGAAACACACTCGTATCCCACATGTAAAAAAAATGTTAAATGAGGCGTCATTAGGCATGTCTGATGATTGGAATATATACTGGTTTCTAAAAAGCGTTAAAAGTGCCCATTTATCAACAGGTTTTCCCTCAAAGTTAGATGGGGTCACAGGCAAGAACACCTTTCTTACTTACTATATGTATAAATGGCACGAACACAAATTTTTATGTCAATTATAAGTGTTGTTCGTGCTTGTGACACATACGAAATTTGACAATACTTTTGAATTTTGGTGTTTTCAAGAATCCGGTAAATTCCTAATGGGTGGGTCATATTTAATAAAGATCTATAGATAACACATAAGGCGAAAGAAAAACAGTTGTTTGTTCGTTTCTAAGATACTAAATGTGATAAAGAATCTAAAAAATTACATTTTCTGAAATCAAATTTGGAAAAAAGCATGGGTTTATCTTATGATCATGTATGCTGTACATACATGTATGTACATGACATTACTCGTTATATACATCATTTTTGACGTCATAGAAGAGGAAAAAAAATCAAATGCTTTTAATGGACCTAGTTTTCTGTCGTTTAGATAATTTATGCATTTAATTAGAAACGGGAAAATTATCTAAAAAAAAAGATATCATTAGAAATTTAGATATTTCATTGAGATAATTATCAGACATATCTCTGTAAACTGGATCCAAATAAAGAACTCATGTGCTGATCCGTCAAATGCACATGTCAGGGCTTTAACGAATCCCCATGTCGGTACATACAATATTTATATCTACATGTAGTGCTCAGCAAATAATCTTTATTTTTGTACTACATGTCAATCATTTCATTAAAAAGAAGCCCGCGTAGATAATTCTTATGCTCCTGCATAAAAGCGTGAAAAGTACAGGAAGCAAATTCAGTTGGGGGGGGGGGGGGGCACAGCCATACATTTTCAGTCGGCAGTTGAGGGGGCACTACCAAAAATTTCCTGACAAGCAAAAAAAAGGTCATCAGACGTTTTTATTTAGAGGGCACAAGCATATAGTATCTATGTTTACTATATTTATCTATATACATGTCGGCAAAATTATTGGTTTCCAGAAACAAGATGCACATTTTAAATATATGACCCTTGACATTGTTTATTAAAAGGAGTGAGTTGAAGTGCAGGTAGGATGTCAAGTTAAAAAATAAATGAAAAGCAAAAAAAAAAAAAAAGAAAGAAAGAAAAGAAAAAAAAAGAAAAAAAAAAAGAAAAAAGAAAAAGATTTGACAGAAAGAAGAAAAGGGGAATTGAAATATGTTTCAAAAAATTCAGAATTATTTAATCGCTACTACGTTATAATATAAATAACAAGTAAAATGTGTACATGTAAACTACTTGTGTATGAATTGTTTTTGTCAAGTTTTCTCGACCAGCACCTCCCTTTTACAAATAATTGTACACTGATAAAAAACTTAAGCACAATATACATGTAATACGAAAGGGAGGGGGCATTTCTCTTAGAAGAGACTTTCATTCCAGTGCCAGTTTCCGGCTTTCATGATTGAACCACTTAAGAATTTTTTTAAAAAAATATACATGTAAGAGTCAATGATAGATCCGTGAATACCAACGCCAAAAAATCTACCCCCATGTTTTGTTGACAAGGAAAATAAACCAGTTAGAACACGAAAAACCTAATCGGGGGATTTTGTTGGGACACTTCTCATTGACAAGTTTTCTTTCGTATATATACACGACTCTTCTTACCAACTCCAGTGAACTTCTGTATCCTTTGGATGGTGGTGGGAAAAGGGGGGGGGGGTCTATTTCTTCCTTTACATTTGATATCAGAATTTAGCTGGATCCGCTACTGTTGTTTCCTGCTACTTCAGGATGAGAAGGGGGTGGGGTTTGCTTTGACATAAATTATAAGAGCATTACATGTAATTATATCAACATTAATTTGAAGCATAGGAATTACCTAAAACTAAAAATCTACTGGAAACAGGGAGAAAGGGTGTTTGTCAATAATTCTATGTGCTAAAAGGTCAATGTCCTATAGAATATATATAAAACAACCTTGGAAATATTTTCTTGAACGCATGTCAAACTATTTTGCCACACTGAAATAAAATTTTGTATGTGCCCCCACCCCCTTATTTCTGCTACTGCTTACTACAGCAATATTCTCTATTTCAAGAATAATAGAGAACATTTTACCCTTTCCTCTTATGCTGTCTTTCGTAAGGCCTTATTAGCAAGAACTTGTTCGTATAAAATCAATCTTACGCTGAGTATTTGAAAAATATTAATGCCTGTATATATGTATCTCATTTACTTTCTTGACGTGTATTTACGAGCATTACATACGCAATATATACACATGAAAATCATAATGTGAAAATGAAATTGAAAGTAGTGAATGTTAAGCAACATACTAAATTTATTACATTTATAGGTCAATAGATAATGATAAGTTTTGAGAAGAAAAACAGAAACATCATTTATTTATCTCCACGTTACAACACGCCACGAATCCCTGTCCTGCATACACGTATTATTTTCGGGAATAAAATATGGCCCTTATAGCGATTGGCTGGTTCGCAAAGACAAATATCCACGATCTTGGGTTGCATGCGAATCTCGCGGATATTTCTTGCATGCGTATTCATGAAAGTTGTTTTACAGTATAGATGTAAGAATTTATCTTGATGTTACTTGTACTTTCCTTGTTTATATACATTCAAAATTATCATCAAGTATAACACAAATTTCTATTTTTATTTATTTCTTCCAGTAAATATATACATGTATTTCGAATATCAAATAAGGTAATACCTATATTTATATTTCAGTTGATATATACTCTGTTTATTCTCTGAATATGGGGAATTCTCGTGAATTCAACTAAGTCCAGTGGCGGATCCAGGAATTTCACAACAGGGGGAGAGTAGAAAGCGGGGGGGGGGGGGGGGGGGGGGGGTCGGGGGGGTCAGGGGGGCTGTATTGAAGCCCCAGTGGGTCCAGGGCAAAGCCCTGATGGGGGTCCGGGGGGCGAAGTCCCCTTAATCTGACGAATTCTTACAAATAAGAGGTGTTTTTCCTCTATTTTAGGATGATGAACATATAAGTTCTACATACAAAAATTTCCAACGGGGGAGGGGAGGGGGGTACGCCCGGCGCGCCGGCGCTGGATATGCTTTTGAAGTCAATAGCATAGATCTTCAATTTTTAAGTATACTTATATTTGTTTTTAGGTCATCTTCTTTTTAATATGATTCATTTTTTCCATAAAATTTTGCATTAAAAATAACAAGTTTTGAATGAATTCTGTATTTTACGAAACTTGTTTCAGTTTCTCTATTACATGAACGAAAACGATGAGACGTTCAATTTATTGTTACAAATGTTTAGAAAGTACGTCCTTTTAACTTCCGTTGACTATTTCTTCTCTGATCATTTATTTAGATATAGATTTTTAAAAATTTCAAATATTTACTTTTTCATCGATCTAAAACTACCACAGTTGAAGTCATTTTCCATAGAAAACTTTTTTTTTCAATTCTATCCAGTCAGAATTGACTGGTATATCAAACGAACACCTTCATCTGCTTTTTTAAATTATGATTGTAAATTAAATGATGTTGATTATATCAGTATCTATCGCTAATTATTTAATTTCAAGACCTATATTTATATGGGTACATTGTAATCGCAAACTTTAAATAAGTCATTTCTATCGCTCTTTGATGCGACGTTATATTACAAAAAATGACGTTCCTATTGCATTTTTCTATCAAAACACTGTCATATTGCAATTTCTATTTTTCAAAAAGTATAATAGATATCAAAAAAAGGAAAACGGTTATGAAAAGCTAAAAATCTACATTATCTATAACAAACATCACATTAATTTTTGAGAAGAGGCCATTTTTGATGGTTCGTGGACTTTGCTCTTTATGCCAATTCCTGCTTAAATATATTCAGGGACATACCGTATAAGTCGAATTTTTAGTGAGACACAAATTTAGCGATTTTTCCATAAAAATTGGAATGCATTTTTAGCAAGAAGTAATTTTAGCAATTTTATAATGTTCAGAGAAAAAGCTTTTATAACAATCGATATAGAATGAATTGTTAGCAATATTTAATTTTAGCAATATCAAAACCCTCGCTAATGATGCCAAAATTAAACCCTTGCTAAAAATTCTGCTTATATGGTAATAATAATATAGGCAACTCCTTTAGCATCATGTTTATTTTCCTAAAACATCACTCACTACCTTTCATGTTTATAAAATTATGTTCATTTTCAGTAAAATGTTTGGTGTATGATACATGTAATCTGTTCTTCTTGTTTAAGGGGATAGAATTTTTAATGAATTTTAAATCATACATTGTAATATAATTTAAGTAAACAATCACCAAAATTTGGGAAAATCTTAGAAATACAGCTGATCAGGGGCATGTGCTGATTTTGAAAATAAAACCTAATAATATTTGTTTGTTTTACATTGAATTCTACTGGTCAACAACTATGATACAGAAAACTTTTCGATGGGCATTTCTCATGCAAATGAAGAAAACTGTACAGTAACTTCAATACAGTCACTAAAAAAAATCTCAAAAAAAACCCCCAAAAAAAACAAATCAATATTCTAAACAAAAGTGAGGAAATAGTATTTAAGTAAAACATATCATCTTAACAGAGAATAATCCTGCAATTGTGTGTTTTATACAATAATACTGTCATTCACTTACCAGCATGTTTACTACATTCAGAATTTCAGTCATGACTAGTTATATTTTGTCAACATTTCAACTTGCAGTAGATTATCTATTGGTTCAAAATAATACCCCCGGTACCTAAATATTTTTATTTAGTGAGATCATAGGAAAGGTCATGTCACAAGTCATTTAGAATACTTGTTTCCTATTGTATGAGAGATACAGGGCGGGGTGCAGCTCAAGCTAGGGCTCTTGCCTTAAGCTCCGCCCTGTATCTCTCATACAGAAGAGAACTTGTAATCTAGATACATGTATTACTAAGATAAGGAGTGCATTGACATATTTTAACTAATTTTTTTATCCATATATAAAGGTTTTGTTCTGCTGTTTGATAATATTAGAGAAGTATTAAAATAAAATTGACATAAAAAAACCCATCTCTTATGAGATATCTCGAGACTTGTGAGAGTTGGCTATCCCATTAGTATATAGGTCTCTAATATATTAATTTACTAATTCTCTTTAGTGCTAAATGCTGAATACTATGCACAAAGTATTGGAATAAAACCAGAACAAGTTATCTAATTTTATCTTTTATTGATTTCAGGGATAACTACACTCTTCAGATTAATCCTTTGTCTGGATTGGCCAATGATGATCATTTGTCATACTTTGAATTCATTGGTCGAGTGGCAGGGATGGCGGTTTTCCACGGGAAACTGTTAGATGGTAAGGATGGCCTGCTGTTGTCCATGTATGAAAACATATATGTAATTCCTCTTGCACAATTTTCTGAGGTTATATACAGTGACGTATGCAATACATGTACATTTCTTGTTTTTGTGTTTGTCAATTAAGCTTATCACTGGAAGTGATTTTTAAAATCGTTATTTTCAAAAATTTTGAACTGTTTTGAGTAGAGACTTAAATAATGATGTGCATTGTACATGTACATTTACTGTGTGTTTAGATTTCACAATACAAAATTTGTAATACAGTTAATGGGTGTTTTTATGGTTGTAGAGGGAAAGGGAGGGGCTGAGGTTGTAAAATCATGTTTATCTGTCGCAAAATATACCAATTTAAAATAATTTTTTTTTATATGCAATATTTCAGGATTTTTTATTCGTCCATTCTATAAGATGATGTTGGAGAAGCAGATAGCTTTAGCCGACATGGAACCTGTGGTAAGACGTAGATACAGACAGCAGGGAACACTTCGTATGAGAATACTCTCAACAGGCTGAAGTCTGTGATTTTTGTTAAATTCCTCTATTTGGAAATATTTTATAAAAACTGTAAGGAAATCAGTTCTTGAAAAATTACAACCCTTGTTTCTTTACAAGCACTTGAAAGGTTTTTTAACACGATTGCACAAAAATAAATAGCTTCTATGATCTTTGATATGAACTTTTGCACAATGTTAGCTGTTTCTTTGATGTTTACTGTAATAAATTTGGCTTTGTGTTAATATAACCACAGGACTCTGAGTACTACAATTCACTGGTATGGATAATGGAGAATGATCCAGTAGATTTGGATCTGACATTTTCTGTGGAAGAGGACTACTTTGGAGAGGTATGTATCTTACATTATTTTTCTACAACAGGCTTCTGTAATTGAAGATTATCTGATTTAGAAATACACTGTAGAATTGATTATAGATTAAAATGCATCATGTACAGATTTACATATACATGTACATTGTACAAATCCCAATTAATTTAATTTAATAGCCCCTACCAATACTAGTATGTTTTTTTCAGTACGAATGTGTAAAATGTTGATTTTCACATTATATAATCTTGATGTCACTGGATGCTTAATAACAATACTATCTGTCCTTGTTATTCTTTTCAGATCACATCTAGGGAACTGAAGCCTGGAGGATCAAACATTATTGTCACAGAAGATAACAAAAATGAGTACATCAAGTAAGGTCAAAATCTATCATTCAAAAAAAAATCCCCAAAACAACCAATCCATTCTGTTCATCTGCAGAAAGAGTGCTGTGTGATATTGTATTTAATTTTAAATTGTATGTTATGTCTTAACAGTCTAGTAATCCAATGGCGCTTTATGTCCAGAATTGAAGCTCAGATGAAGGCATTCATGAGAGGTTTTGCCTGTTTAGTGCCATTAGAAATGATCAAAATATTCGATGAAAATGAGTTGGAGGTAAGTGCAATAATTTTTTTCATGAACATTTGTTTTTCAAATTTAATACATATACATGTACGGTATGTGGTTACTCTGTACTATTTACTGTGCATTTTATTAATTTTTTTATAAGATGTGAAACAAACTGAGATTAAATGAAGGCAGTCATTTTCAATATTATACTTTCATGTAAATTAGTTGAATCTGATTCGTCGAGAAACATTTGTTAAAAAACACTATTACCCACTGAATGATGAAGCCATGCCCTCCAGCATAGCAACAGTCAACATTGCTTGACGATGGGTGATATTCCAATAAATAGTGACTGTGCAGAATTAATGTGCGCAAGGTTCACTGTTATATGTATTTATATAAAGCATTCAGTATAATATAATAAATATTGCATGCAGTTGAGTGTAACATTGAAAATTTTCACCCCAAGAAAACCATTGTCAACCGAGGCGCATGTTACGCTCAGCTACATGCAATATTTTAAACAATAAATTGCTTTCTTTGGTTGTTAGTACGGGAATTAATGTCGCAGCTGTTGCAGAAAAAATACATAACCCGCATAAGCGGGTTATGTGAATTTTTTTCTGCAATAGCTGCGACGTTAATTCCCATACTAACAAACAAAGAAAGACATTTTATTGTTTATATTTATATCTTAATAAAAAACATGCAAAGTAGATTAAATATGTTAAATATTGTATTATAGATGTTAATGTCATTGTATGCATAATTGATGGAACAGCCGTTGCTTAAGAAATATGTGCAGGTGGCTTGTTTAGTGTTGTTTACTGACTGATTAATGGCAATGGTTTTTATAAGAAATAAAGGAAATAATATTCAGTGGATGTAAATATTATATAATACTTACCAATTTTAGAAGATGAATGCATATTTTTATAATCTTGTCAGAATGGTCATTTAAAGATCTATGCTTGTGTTTTCATTACAAGTCGGTTGAGTAACCATATCTAAAATGAAATATTCTACTAATAAACACATTGCAGTAAATTTTACAGGGAATACTTGGCTATTTTTCAGCTGTTAATGTGTGGCCTTCAGGATATTGACGTCAACGACTGGAAGGAGCATTCTGCCTACAAAGGAGAATATAATCCAAACCACCCAGTTATAATTAACTTCTGGAAGGTATGGAAGCCATGCTCAAACTGAAAAAAAAAATTATTTATTTTTGTACTTGTGCAGAATTAACATACATAGTGCTCCACATCTCAGGTGAAATTGCTGTGTAGTAATATTCTTGTCCTTCAATTTGGCAACACTTTTACTTGACACAATAACTGCAGTCCCTTTAATATAATGACTTCACATTGCTTATGGTGGTAGATACTGTAGATCACTAAATTTTCGCGACACCTTATTTTCGCGAGATAGTCATTGACTCTTTATTAGCGAGACATAATTTTCAAGAATTATTGTTATTCCTCTATATAATCTTAAGGAATACTATTATATGCGAGAATGAAATTTTCGCGAGCTCACTGTCTCGCGAAAATAAAGTTCTCGCGAATAAAAAGTGATTTACAGTAATAGTAAATTGATGACACCTGTAGATTTTATGCTGTCTTAATAAAAATTCAAGGTCAAGACTATTGATGGGGGCTCATGTTAATGTGACACAGTAATAAAATTTTATTTTTCAACTTGGTGACTTCAAATGCACTATAAAATTGGAGAATGGATAAAGGAAGACACCTAGAGATATTCAGTCAATTATGGTCAAAATTTAGTTGATCTGTATTTGAACTGTATTATGTGTTGATATGACTTGACTTTTGAGTAAATCATATAACTTCATATTCACTACACTGAAGAAATACACCGTCTTTTGTACTATACAGTCACTTAATCAAAATTCAAAGTTATTGATATGTACATGTATGTGATACAGTATCTGAAGTTGTGTAATCTTATGACTTCAAAGAAAAGGTAGAGAATTGTTACAGGAGGACACTACATATTTTTAACCTAGTTTGATTGTACATCAAGGTCAAATAGTGAAGATAATTAATATGAGTGAGTCACAGAGGCATGTGACTTAATATGTTTTCTATCTATACAGCAGCGAAGGAAAAACATAACTTTTTTCTGGTATTTAGTGTTGGCATGCTTCTTTTCTGCAGGCTGTATATTCATTGAATAATGAAATGAGAGCTCGACTTCTACAATTTGTGACGGGCACATCTCGAGTTCCGATGAATGGATTTAGGGCGCTTTATGGAAGCAATGGACCACAGCTCTTTACCATAGAGAAATGGGGCAATATCAACCAGTTCCCCAGAGCCCATACCTGGTAATTTCTTGTTTAATGTTGATTAATAATATTCTACATGTAGTTGTAAAATCTTCAGGTTTTATTTGTAAAAAACAATACGTGTATATTTGTACAAAGCTGCAACAGAATTAAATCCATCATTTAGTTCTTGTACCTCTCTGAGATGTTAAGATATATTTTTCTGCAAAATCTTATTTTAATTTGTGTTGAAACAATTTTTATAATTTTCCTAGTTTCAATCGCTTGGACCTGCCTCCATATACAGACTACCATGACTTGAGAAAGAAGCTTTTGATTGCTGTGGAGAATACCCAAGGATTTGAGGGTGTGGATTAGATTTACACTGTAATCCATAGTGTCTCAGTGACTATGTTTTGATCAGTATGCAAGGTGAATAGTCAAATAACTTCATGAGGAGGGCATTAATTTTCCTCTGATACATATACATATAGGTCAGAGACACAGGACTAGATCTTATAAACTTTTTATTCTGTGATCAGACTTGTGCAATCTATTTTCTATTTTCCTATGGAAAAGTGCTCCAATAACAGATCAGTTAACTCTAAGAGGCTTTTAACTCGGCTACAGATGTAAATTTATGTACATGTATATATTCATGTCAGCGGACAGATAATGGTACTTAATTGAAGTATGTTGTGTTATAGACAGAAATGCTTGAAATGTCTATTATTACTATTTTAGCAACTATTTCCATGTAGAGTTCTGTCCATGCTTTCACTGTGATGCTTAACAGTGGTACATGTACATTATTTGGAATTTGTTCTCTCAATGATTTTTTTTGTGAAATTGAACCAGTTTTATTAATGGACTGATTTATGTTTTCTTTGCTTTTTTAATCTAAGTGTTAAGAAAATGTTTCTTTGGCATGTCAAAGAAAATCCATGGAAAGAATTGTTAAGGTCAGACAATACGTTCCTCAAATGTCTGTTTTGTATTCCTTCGAATTATGTGGAAAATATTCAAAATCTTAATTACCTTCTGATTTCTAAACTGGTTTCTAATTGTCTTTTAAAAAATGAAACAACAAAAAATGTGTTATTGGCTAATTAAGTTTTTTTCCAAAAGGATTTTATAGGAAAAACATCCTCTGGTATCTTGCACAAATGCCTGGTAAGGTACCTCAATTTTTTGCGAGTAAACGTGTTAAAGTTGCAATACTTCAATGACAAAATCTTAGAAAAAATTTTATATTATTGAGGAACGTATCGTCTGTCCTTAAATACAGGTACATGTATTACTGGCAATGTGAAGTGGTGAAGGTGGCATTTGAATATCCAGTGAATTTACTTTTTTGTGAGTTTTATAAAACCATGGATTACTTGTATCGAGGAAAATAGACAACCACAGAAATTACCACTTTTATATTGGGGGGGGGGGGGGGGGGGGGGGAGTTTTTTCTTAGCCAAAAATTTTTAACTTCATTTTGTTTCTGGTATTTGTTAATCAATGGACCATGCTTAATAAGTAAACTTTAGCAAATACAAAGATTCTGGATTAACTGTGTAGAGTCAGTAAATTTTGGAATCAAGAAAAAATTCCAGCAAGATAATATAGGCCTGACAGTGTATGGTGCAAATCTCTCATTATGATCATGAATTATATAGTATTCATTGCAATATATTTTTTTCCTTTCCTTTTTGTTTTAATAAACCCCTGCTATTGTATTCTTTATGTATAAGCTATTAAAACTTACATTTAGTCACTACATGTGTACAAAAACAATCATTGATTTCATTGATGAAATAGTTATGTTCACTTTTTCACGGATTAAACTACAGTATGTGTGTGTATTGAAAATATTAGTGCTAGCTATTAGATAGCTTAATATATGAAGATATTATGTACAGTCTTTGCTGCTTTCGTGTTGTATAGATCAGGTATATCATTATGGGAGAGTGGTCATTAAGAATTCTGTATTATTGAATCAACGTGTGTTAATCCAAAAATAAAAAAAAAAAATTCTCTCAAGCCAACTTTAAAATAATCTTTGTTTGCCCTCTCCCGACTCAGGATGAAAAAATTGGGTCGGTGGGTAGGTGGAAAAATTCCTCCCCCCGAAAATTTCAATGTCAATGCTGAATTTTCGAAATCCTAAAATAAAGAATAATTGTTCCTGGAGGTTGAAAAAGTTAAGTTGAGCCATTTTTAGGCAGTTGGTCGGAAGAGGGCAAACAAACAATTTTTAAAGATGGCCTCAGTTATGCACATCGATTGGTATAAAACCTGCTGTTTTTATTTGTACGAGTTTTAATGTATTAATTTATGAGCATCAGAAAAAAAGATTCATTAAAGAAAATTTCTACTTGTACTATGTTTTTCATGTCATAAATTAATGATATTATGATATTGCTTGACAATTCTTGAAAATTATAGGCATTTGCTCAATGTATTTTGAATTTGTTCATTTGTATCACTGTCTATGTAATTATTATTCAGTTTATATATATATATATATATATATATATCTATATATATATATATATATATATATATATATATATATATATACTTTACATAGTTATTTATTTTTTTTTTAAATATACAGGAGTTGTGATTTCCCTTCAATTTTCTTTCAATCTACATGTATATGATATACATGTAGAAAATTTTCCTTGATAATTTATAAAACTGATTTTGTTATTTTTGTATTATTTGTACTTTTGTACATTATGTGTACATGTAAGCACACTTTTACTTAGGTCCGTAACTTTTTTGTTACTTGGTAGATTTGTACTGCTATTTACATAAAAAAAAATACTTATATTATTACAAGTATAGACAAATTTCACAGTGTACTTATTATCATCAAATTCTCTCCAGTGAAGTGGTGGATTTACTGGCATCTGTTTCTCAGTCATGTATACAGATTTGATTGAAAACTTGATAACTATTAAGTACTTTTATATACAGTATAGACATGCACTTGATATTGCAACATTTCAACACTAATGAACCTTCACCTTTGAAAAAGGTCATGATTATTTTAAGATTTCTGTTAATATATACCCATGTGTATGGTTCTACTTGGACATAGTTAATTTCTCCACTTGTTAATGAAGTCATTCCTTCTGGTCTGTTAAAATTCAATCCTATTAATTATTATAGTCATGAACTTGTGTTCTGTTCTTGCCCATGAACAAAATGTTTTATATACATATATGTATATATTGAAATAAATTATTAATAAACAGATTTTTTCTTACATTTTTCATATTTTGCAAGTTTTGAATAATATCCTTAAGACTTCTCCATGCTTTGGAGTTTACAATAATTAATTTTAAAATCGAGTCTGCATTGTCGTGAATATTGGCAAGTATGCTTTTACAAATCTTACAAGTGAAGTATAATATATTTGTTATTGAATACATAACAATACAAAAAAAAATTTCTTTGGTCATGACGTTTCTTTCTGGTTTTGTCGATATTGCTTTTCATCGGTTGTGAACTTTAAAATATTTTCAGCTTCTCTGAAAGTAAGACTGAAGTACTTTCAACCAGTTTGGAATATAGCCCATTTATGGACAAAGGGGAATAAAAATACTAGGGGCATGAGGGACAAGTCAAAATCTACCATTCATGAAACTTCAAACCTCTTCATTTCTGGACAGGAAAGCTGTATTAATGATTGTAGTAATTTGGCCCTCTCCCAGATTCATGATCCTTGGATCCAGAGTTCATGCCTTAAATTAGATTTAAATGCATTACATCATTGAAAATCTTGACCTAAAGAAATCCAAAACATTGCCTTTGAATTATACCTGGTATTATAATGAATGATTTGCTACCCCAGCTACAGATCCAGTGGCACAATTCATCAGAACTTATCATGACCCCAAACCATAAAGTTTTTGCAACTAAGATTACCGAAGATAATTTCATCTGAATTTTTTAGAACTCAAAGCAGAAAGTTTGGGCATTGTTTTGAGGGTTTGTAAGCTCAAAAATAACACCTTTTCTATGGATAATGTACACTATTGTTTATTGGAACACAATTTTTCTATAGATGTCACTTGATAGATTTACATACGACAAATTTCTGTTCATATGCATGAAAAGATACCGAGACACAAAATAAATGTAAATGAAATGAAAGTGATCTGTTCCATATAAAATAAATAACTTGCAAAACTTGGAACATACAGAATGAAAAAGAAATACACTACAAAATGTCTAGACAGTGTCTTTGCTGATGCCCTTTATTAAAACATCATTCTCAGACAATAGGTAGACTGAATAAAAAATATTTAAACACTCTTAAATAATTTGAAAACTACAAAATACAAAAGAAGTTTTCATGACGAGGTACAAATTTACCACTCTGATTTCTGTGAACCATCCATTTGGTCGTATTCAGAACTTGGAACAATTTTTTTCCCATAATCTCAATGCTTCTGACCACAAAATAAAGTGACATTGTTATTGCTACCAGAATCATCCTACATATCATACAACAAATAAATAATAAATACATCTTACATAAGATTTGGCATTTTCTTCATTCTTGGCCTAACCTGTACACCAATCTCTGAAGTCTACACCCGACTCATGTGCTACATACCAACATTTCACATCTGCTGTTATTGTAACAGCTGTATTACACACAACAGAGATGTCAAAGTTACAAACATATACAATCACACACATCTCAATCACCATATGTACCAATTAATACTAAGAGACTTGTCTTTAAGCTAGCTTAAATCATACAGCATAAACTAAGACATACAAAATTCTGGACATAATTTCCTTACCAGAGGAAATATTTAACCATTTCAAACTTTGTAGCACTATTTGGCACTAGACTTAAATACTAGTTGCTAACTTGCTACTCTGTAGTATTACCTGTGCTATATAAGTAATTCAGGAAGTGACTTGCTCAATGCTGTGGCAGTGTAGGTTAACACACTTACAATCATACCCCATTCACTGTGAACTACTGCTTCATTAAACAAGTCAGACAATGTAACCATGCATCATTTTATATCTCTTCGACAGGGCTCATAATACTTCATATTTTAATAGACTTCGTATTTGTGCGACCAAATAAAGAATTTTAAGTTGCCAAAATGGAGTTCAGGCTGCCCACAAAAATTTGAACAGCAAAGAATTTGTGTCTTCAAGAATTTCAATAAATACTTACTATGCACAGAGCCTGTATAAATCTTGAAATACAATAAATATGCAAGTAAGGAAAGTCCCCATGATTTGACTTTCAACTAGATATTATCTGGGTCAGTAGGGTAACCAAGTGAAATTTTTTTGTCTAATTTTCCATGAATGTTAAAAATTCCTTCATCATGTTCTGTCACTTCATACAATTTTTTTCCCATTTTGCAAAATTCTAAAAAGGAGAAAACACACACACACACACACACACAAACAAATGACACAATACACCTATATATGTGAAATCTTGTAAACCCTGCCATGTAGCACTACTAATAACAATTTTTTCATTTTCACAGAGTTTAAATTTTTTAATCCTGTCAGTGAAACATGAATCCAGGCAAACATATAGATTAACACATGAGATCATCAATTCACTTACTCTTTATATTACACTGCAGATCACTAAAAAATCCAATCCCCATTTCACAATCCTTAAAAAATTCACTCTATGTTCATTTGCTCCATCTATTTGGAGGAATCATATCTAACAAGTATTTCCTTTGTAGAGAGCTAAGATCACTGGCTTTTGCACCTCCAAAGGGTATCTGGTAGGGAAAAGGTCCAGGGGCCCCGAAGGGGGCTAGTCCTAGAGGCTGTCCCATTCGTAGTGCTGCTTGGTGCGCAGTAACAGCCTGGTGGGCTTGTAGGAAGTTCTGATGATGTCTTATAGCCTCTGTTGTAGCTTTATATGAGGCTGAACTCGTTGGAAGATTCATCGAGCCACCATTGGAGGAGGAGTTATTAACTGGAGAAGGGGAACTATGGGAAGATCCCGAGCTTTTTTCCTGAGCCTGCATTCTCTCGATCTCCTGTTCTTGTTGGAGAGCTTTAACAAAAGCACTCTTAAGACGATTTGTGTGTTCCTGTTTCAGAGCTTTCTTCTGATTAGTTGTCACACAGTGTTCACAGATCACATTCTTAGAACCAGCCTTTTCACGCTTCCACACAGGTGTGAAATCCGTGCCACACTGGACACATGTGAAAGGATTACACACCATCTTCTCGTCTGGATTTTTCTGTCCTTTAGATATTAGATTAGCATCAATTATGTAATTCACTGCTTCTTCTAAACCAAGCAGGTATATAAAGTCATTATTTGACAGACTTGGTACAAAGTTCATCTCTGGGGGTGGTGGTTTAGGAGGTGGGATCTGCAACAAAGTCTTCTCTAATTGTTTTCGAAGAGCCATTTTGGCAGCAGCTTGTCGTTGTGCAGGTGTTTGAGTATCCACCTGAGCATTACTATTCTGGTTCCCCTGTGAACTTGATCCATACATATTGCGTGAACTGGACTGGCCAGTCAAGCTTTGATAACGCATCTGTTGTGAGAGACTGTTTCCATTGGGTATATTTTGTCCCCTCATGTTAACCAATGGTGGTGGACCCTGTTGGTGGCTTCTATTAGAAGGACCCTGATTGTTGCTGCGCATAAGCTGTGGAGGCTGACTATGAGCAGGTCTTGCCTGACCAGCCTGTTGGCCTGGCCTGACTAAAGGAGGTGGTTGAGCATGCTGTTGTTTGGGCTTCTCCTGAACAGACGACGAAGATACTTGGCTTTGGCGCATCTTCCTCAGTAATATCAACTTGGCTTCTTCGTTTCTTAGTTCTGCCTGCAAGCGTTTTACCATTTTTCGTCTTTTACGTATTTCACATTCATCAAGATCACTAACATCTCCATTTATGACACCATTCATTAATTCCTCATCAGAGTCTGACAGCATTATGACATCCATCCCACCATTCCCGTTAGGAATTCCTGCCTTTGTTGAAAGATCTATAGGTGTTTCAGCATCTGTCCGTCTATTCTCCTTCTCACTATCCTCTGATTTCACTGAGAAAGCCTCCTCTAACCCCTCAGATCCTTTTTCATCAATGCTATCTTTTGATGATTTTAAACTTTCACTTTCTAAAGATTTCACACTGTCACTTTCACCATTTCTCTCATCAATATCTTGTGGGTCCTCTTCCTTTTCTGAAGTTTTTACATCATCACCATCTTCTTCTTCCATCTTTTCTGACTTGTCTTCATTTTCTTTATTTGACTGAATCTCTAAAGAATCACTGATATCATTTTCCCCTGGATCAGTACTTTCAGTCTTCTCACCTTCAGAATTTTCTTTCATCTCCACACTATCAGTATTTTCTGCTAAACCTTCAGTATTTTGGGTGGACACCTTTTCCTCTGTATTCTGTTCCTTGTCCTCAGAATCTGTTTTCTGTTCAGAATCATCGCCCACATTTTCTTCTGTTTCCTTTACAGTATTGTCCTTGTCTGGTTCACTTTTAGCATTGTTCACATCGTCATCTTCATCTGATTTACTTCTGCAATAAAGATTAAATCAACACTGTTTGATTCAACATAACTGGTAAATCTTGATTTTTTAAACCTTTTTTATAATTCTATAAATTAATTTTATTACAAAAACTTTCCAAAAAAAGTAATAAGATCGTACATATGTATTGATACTATCTTCGCTAGCCAAGGGTTTCTGACACGCTACTCTCCTCATAAGCCCTTGGCATACGGTGTTAAAAAAAGTTGGGATTTTTTTCTCAAGTTGTGATTGGAGTTGATCGACATCGTTCGACCAATCAGCAATTGTTTTTTGTAAATGACGATATTTGCGTTTGGGATATATCTTGACTCTTTAATATCGGGGATGAAAAACGCAAGTAAACAATGATCCGTAGGATAACATGCCATTCTATGAATAGCAATAAGGTGTCATCCTATTTCTAAAGCAACGTGCAAAATATGGGATTAAGAATCTATACTGAAGGTGTAGATTTGCATTTTAAGATGTTTAAATAACAAATTAACACAACTCAATACCTTCTTGTTAATAATTCTTTAAAAACATTATTTTTTTAAATACGCTTTTTATTTCTGTCGATGGTGCAATCTGTGCATACCTGGCAGAGTTGTGGAAAACTTTTTCAGATAGCCAGTCATTCGGACTGGCAAGAAGACAAAATAAGCCGGTCCGAAGTGATTTTTGCCTGTCCAAAATAGTAAGTCACAAAATAAAAAAACCCATAACATTTATTCACTTCATTACACATTTATTTACTTAATAATAATATAACATTCAGTCTCCATTTGCAAGTCGTCTTCCATTTTCGTTTTTTTTTTTTTTTTTTGCATTTATAACAATTCTTGATTTCACCGCTTTTGGGCAGGTGACAATGCTTATTCAGCACAGTAAATGTAATTTTTTTTTAACATTTATGCATTTGGGAATTACATTAAACCTAGAAAATGAGTCTAAAAAAATTGTGGAAATTCTGTGCATCGACAATAAAGAGATCAACACGATCAATGAAAAAAGGAAATCCGGGACAGTCGGAAGTATTAGATTTACCGCTTTCCCCAACTGTGTTTGAATTCTCTATGTCGAAATTTTTACATATTTAGCTTGTCTTTATCTGTTTCTTTACATTTTCTACCTAATTCTGCCCCAGTTGTAAATTAGGTCACGAGACCATGCTGGTTTCACTTTCATTTACAGCCTCGATCTTGTGTAAAGAACAAGTATTATGCAATCGCATATAAGGTACGATAATTAAGCTGGGAGTGCGCCTATGATAAATGGTAAAACAAAAAACTTTAACCAAAAAAGGGGCCGGTCATTTGGACCGACATCGATAGCATTTTTACCGGTCACACGCATTTTTTGTCGGTTTTGCCGGCATGACCGGCAGTTTTCCACAAATCCGACCTGGTAAGAATCGTGATCATGTGACGAAAACAACCACGTCTTTTGTCAGCACCGTATGCCAAGGGTTTATGAGGAGAGTAGCGTATCAGAAACCCTTGGCTAGCGACGATGGTATTGATACTAGACTGAAAATTCCCCACAAAGGAGTTCACTTTTGCCATCTTAAAGGCTTGTCTGGTCTTAAAAGACAAATTTGATCCCAGATTGAAATTATAGAATTTTATCTATCCTAATACTGTAAACAAATGTTTTTAAATTGTAGAAATTTGGAGAGAGGAAAGTTTGAAGAATATTAGTCATTTGATTACTGTACATATACATTACAAATGATAATTTTTTCCAATTAATTTCTACATTCAGAGAGAACATACCATGACTTAAATTTAGACTGGAAGTGTTTATCTCACTAACAACCGAGATAATTCTCACAAACCTTTTCTCTGCTGGACTGTCATCTTCTTCCATTCTTTTTCTCTTCCCTATTTCATTCTGACTAGATCTGTAAAATTTCAATTATTTTCATTTACTCCTCTTTTAAATAATAAACAACTAGTCCAAGTAAATTACAATTCATTTTAAAATTCCTTTCCAATAACATACTATTCCAATTCAATATTTACTTTACATAAATATTAATTTAGTTATCAACCATGTGAAGCATTATCTTCACACTTTTTTTTCAGTGTTAAAGGGTTTATGACCGTCACAGTTATTTCTATGGTACTAGAACCTACTCTGATCCTTTTTCCATGTCCAAAGTATCCTCTGCTACTTGATCCTCTGAAGTTTTTTCACTATGAGAGACATCTGATGACATTGTGTCTTCCATGTCATCTTTCTCAGTAGTGGTGTCCTGCGAATCCATTTTTCTTTAAAGAAATGAGGAGTATTTTGAATAAAGCATTATTTAAGAAGCAGTTATATACATTAACAAATGTCAAAACAACTTTTTAGTGGTGGTTGTTAAGGGGTTGAAATTTTCCTGAGAAACCCATTAGCACCGAGGCTACTGATCAGCAAAAAATTACTAGCCCAAACCTTAAACTAACTAGCCCAACAATTTTTTTATGCAAAATGAAAACATATCAAGTTAAAGTTTCAAACACTTTGGTGACAGGAACAAAAACCAGTCTACATAGAAAAACTGAAAACTGATGAGAATTTTATTTCCGTTCTGCTAGTCCGACGGACTATCGTAAATTTAAAGTAGCGTGCCCGAATCTTAAAACAACTAACCCCAGGCGTTGGACTACTGTATATTTCAATCCCTGTTGTTGCAATATTGATTTTTCCACTGTACGTAATACTATAACACGTCTGTTTGCAATATTATAATAACAATTTAAATTTCAAATGAGCTGTCATGAGCAGAAAATCAATGTTTTGGCTAACCTCCTAATAACAAAAAATATCAAAACTTGAAGTATTTTATATTTAACTATTAAGATAGAGTAAACAGGTTTTTTTAAATTTTGAATTTAATATGATCATAAAAAAAAAGGGTATTTTTTTAAAAATTATTTCAATAGATCTATATATACACTTTGTCTAATTCCTTCTTTTAAATTAAAGGTTAAAAAAATATTAAATCAGCACTATATTTATCACGATCATAAATCAAAGCACACTTCATCGAGAAAAAATTCTTTGTTGATTGAGATATGCAAATTAAATAAAGAATCCAAAACGAGGCTCGTGACCGACAGTTGTCAGTCTTTTGCCAGACGCTTGTTGACCTACATGCATCAACCGAAAAAAGTTTCCATAGTCACTTCAGGAAGTCATATCTTGATAGTGTAAAACACAATCAATTTCTCGCCATAATGAAACAATAAACATTATTAAACTTTACGTACACCGATCGATCAGCTGATAACAGATCGATATTCTGAAGTTATCAAGACTTTGTCAATGTCATAATCCGTGTAAATAAATTGCAATTGATAGTGGAAGCCATTTTGTTGTAATTATCCTTCGACTGTGGTCTTAGAATGCATGTCCATAAAATTTTACAAAAGCGTTTATTTTCACTGAAAGCGATGGGGAAAGGTCTTTATTATGTAAAATTGATGGGTAATAGAACTATGAAATACACGATAAAACGCTAAAATGCTGATTAACCTCACGTGCAAAAAAATGCACATCCGACCATTGTTTCTCATTCTTAACCTCTCTACACTCTGTGTTTAAGATTTTATGCTAAAACTAGCCAGGAATACACATGAAAACATACATACCACGTGTATAAATGCGTTCCAATTCTGCCGGTAAAACATGAATGATCTTACGCACACAAATGTTGTAAACGGACCGACTTCCGTTATGGATAAACTAATCCGATACACAAACTTTCTTCGACAGCTTTGTTAAAATACCAAATTCTTGGTAAAGGGATGTTTAAAATCCTTACTTAAGATGCATAAATGTGGTGTAGATCTATTACCTTGCAACTCAAACAGTTCTCACTTTCTTTGTCCCTGCTGCGATCATTCCATCTTCTAAGATGGCATCTATTAAATATGGGGTTCACCTTTATTGTAGCAAGGAGCAAACAAACAATTTGTTTACAGATAAACAACACGTCATAAGCGATTGGGTTGCACATATCACGTGATTCTTTGAGTAGGAAACAAATGAACATTCAACCACGAAGTCCTTTTCACAAGAAATTAATTTTTTTTTTAAATCTTTTAATTGAATCGTTAAAACCACTAAACATGCTAAAGGAAATTTATGGACAATAATTAAATTATTTAAATAACATTTACTCACCCAACCGATTTGTTCTTTTTCGCGATCGACTCTGTGATTTTTTATTCAACTTGAAAAATGTTAATTATCTTTGAAATTCCCACTGTGAAATAATATCAATTTTAGAGTTCGTGTTCGTGCTCAAATGAATCAAGTCCATTCAAATGGACTATATTGATTTTTAAGGAACTTACCAAGGAAAGAAATTCACAGTTCTGCATGTTTGATGCGCAGCGCATAATCTGAGGATCTTGTAGCTGCGAATCATTGAGAAAAAAAATGTTTATAAATAATTAAAAATATACTTAATGGAGTGTAACATGCTAAAACAAGAGGTCAAACAATCACTACATCATGACGAACCATAATCATCTTCTTGCAATTTAAGATTTTTCATGTACGAACCCGGCTTCTTAATTATTGAGTTGAGGATGGATGCAAATACAGTTATAAGGCCTTATGCTAGTTTGCATTTGAGAAGAGAAATTTTGAAGTAATTTTTTAGTAATGGAGAAAAAAATGTACTTCTATTGTTATTTAGAATCCATTAATTATAAAACATTTATTTATTTCTATTAAAGAGTCAGAACCCTACAAACTAATACTCTATATGAATCAAGCTTGCTTCTAAAATGGTAAATTTGTGAGCATTAATTTGATGATTAGTAAAGCGAAAATATATACTAATGAATTTGCAACTAGGTATTTTAAAATATTTGTTAAATAATTATTCTAGTATGTAAAATAAAAGTATTTACCCCCCCCCCCCAAAAAAAAACTATAATTCATGGCTCAGTGGTTAAAGGTAAAGAAAGGTACCTTTTGAGCGCATTATAATCTCATAATAATTATGAGAATAATTTCATTTTTGGCGTTTTTTAAAAAAAAAATGTTAATGGGTGGAGAATATATGAATAAGTAAAGTAAGTTATTTTGGCGGGTTTTTTTTCACTCGAAGAAAATTTGTGTTTTTCTCATAATTTTTTATGGACAGGCATTTATGTCAAAGATAGAAGGTATTTCTTTTAACTCGGACGCGTAGATGTTTGGCACAGTTTTCGTACCTCAAAACTGTTTTTTTTTTTTTTTCATACAGAACTTACAAAAATTTGGCATATAAACATAACTGAATGGAGGGTCGAGCGTCTTGATGAGTGACTTTCCTTTTCCTTAGAAATGAATTACAATGAAGTGTTCTGAACATATTTATCTGTTTAATGTTGTTATAGGTCTCGTATTATTATAGATGTCCAAACAAAAAAATCATTTTTTTTTACCATTTTATTCTAAATTACCCCTGTTTTTTGTAATAGGTAAAATTACAACTTGTTATTTTGATTTTCTTTATTCATGCAGACAAGTCTTCATAAACACAGTCATTTTGACACTCAAAGTCAGTAAATTATTAGACACCTTCCAAACCCTTGTGGACCACTGCGCAGCAGTTGTGTATATTGAGAGGTATGAAAAAAGTACATAAACTTCTTTTTGGTATTATAAAAAAAACAAAAAACAAAAACAAACAAACAAAAAAAGTGTAACAAACTCTGCATAGTTTAATCGGGATTATAGAACTTCATTTATTAGCAAAGCGAATTTACAAACGAAATTTAAAAAAAATGAGAACAGAGATAGCTCAAAGTTTTCTTGTAAACAATACAAGAAAATAATGGATAAGATGAAATATGAAGACAACGAACAGTAATCAAGCTCAGAAGTCCATTCAACATTAAAAATCGGGAGCAGATCAAACACGGGCCTCTGAAATCACAGGTAGGACCAGGTGCCATGGAGGAGTAGACATCCTTTGTCGATCGGTCTCACCTGTGATTGGGTAAACGGAAAAATCACTAGACAATTCCGCGTGAAAATAATGGCCTAACAATTTGTATGAAAAACATCAGTCAACATTCGACTTAATGATTGATTGTATTTTCTGACAAGGTCATTGTACCGACCATATAGAATTTGCAAAATGTTGACTTTAAACTCGACTGTTGACATCCTTGCTTCACCAACCCACTTGTCAGGAGCTCGCCTTGTTCGTTGTTCGTTTTTGAGTATCGAATACAAATGACATACGCAGGTGATAATAGTATATTGCTACATAAATAAGGAAAGTTGACGATAGGGAAGTTGAAATGATCACGTTTGTCATTTTATCATAAAGTTATAGGGGAAAAACTAATAAACTTGTTCACTTGCGTTTTTTTTTAATCCAAAAGTTTTAAATGCATCGAGTGAAGCGAGTAAAGATAAAGCGTGCAGTTGATATTAATAAGATTTTCAGCTTATCAAGGAAATGAATGAAGGTATGATTAATGATATATGGAGAATGAAAAAGGTGAAGATAACGAACAGTGATCAATCTCATAAATCTACAAACAATACAATATGTGAACAGGGCCTAAACACGGACCCTCGAAATTCCGGAAGTAATATCAAATGCCTATGAAGAGTAAGCATACCCTGTGGACCGGTCACACCCGCCGTGAGCCCTTTGTATTGATCAAGTAGACGGAATATTTCGTAGTCAACTTTATTATAAAAATAAAGATATGAAACTAGTCAGCCAAAATACGACCCAATGATAGGTTATATTTACTGACGAGGTCATTGAAACGACCACACAGTTTATGAAATGCTGCCTTTAAACAAGGTTGTTGAAATCCCTGTGACATCAACTTATGTGTGAATAGCTTGCTTCGGATTAAAAATTGATTGTACTCGGAGCACGCTCTTAAGAAGCGAATAAGTTGGGAGACATAAACACCATATACAGATGAGAGCGGAATATTACTAAATAAATAAGAAAAATTGACAATGGAAAAGCTGAAGTCATCTCGTTTGTCAATTTAGTTGTTAGTCGGTTCTTATCGTCTATAGTCAGTAAAACATCCAAATATGAAACATGTAGCAGACTCTGTGGTGTTTTTTATTTCAAGCTCACTGGGATATATCGAGTTGACATATGAATGGAAATAATTATTGTTGATTGATGAAATATAGAGATATCGAACAGTATCCAAATCTAAAAGTCCATTGAAACAATAAAAATTGGGAGCGCTAGCAAACACGGACCTATAAGAACATCAGAGGTGGGATCAGGTGCCACGGAGGAGTAAGCATCCCCCTGTCGACCAGTCTCACCCACGTGTGCTCCTTGTCATGATCGAGCAAACGGAATTATCCGTATTAAGACAATTCAGTGTGTAAATAATGGCTTAACAACTTAATCGTATGAAAAACATCGGTCAGCATTTGAATTAATGATAGATTAATAGGTATAAGTTGACAAGGTCATTATAACCCTAATTCTAACTGACGAAATGCTGGCTTTAAACGAGACTGTTGATATCCTTGTTTCATCGACTTGTTTGTCAAAAGCTCGCCTCGTTTTAGAAATTGTTCTTACGTAGAGTGTGCTTTTGCAAAGCGATTCAACTGGGAGAAACTCCAACTGAAACTCCATATCCAGGTATGAATAAGGGTACATTGCTACATAATTAAGGAAAGTTGACGATAGAAAAGTTGAAGTAATCACGTTTATCAAAAAGTTTTGTTGTAAGGTTACCATTAACGTCTTTTTATAGTAAAATATCCAAATATGAAACGTAAGTGCCAAACTCTGTAATATCTTTTGTTTCAAGTTCACTGGGATATATCGAGTCGACATATGAATGGAAGTAACTACAATTGTTAATTGATAATACGCCTTCGACATATCGAAATGTCGAGTTGAAGGCCACAACAAGTGGTTATTCTTCTCATGTATAAGTTTTTGAATAAATTATGCTTCATATGAATACAAAAATAGATCTGCTAATAACGGAGCGCAATTGGTACCCATGGGAATTTCGACAGTTTGTTGAAAGACTTGATCTCCAAAAACTACCTAAATATTGTCAATCAGAAAATCAAGCATCTTTTCAATGTCAACTTCGGGTTACATGTGTGTACAATCAAATTTTTTTTCTTCAAAAAATAATTTTGCAAATGATCGGGACAAAGTTACTGAATACATTGACGAGATGTTTTTTTTTAAATTTTGTAAAAGTCTCATGGACATTTTTATTTTTTAAGCATCCAGATCTTATTTACACCACTTTTTGAATATATTGTTGTACAGTTCTCCTGAAGTGTCTCCTCTGCTGTGAATATTTTAGTAAGGAGTAAGGAAAGAGACTTGGTAGAACATTTACAGAAATCCGCTATGTATCTTTATTCGTAAGAATTTTTATGTAGTTAAAGAATCCAGTACGAGTATGATGCAAATTCAATTTGATTGTTGGAAATATTAAAAATACTAACGTTTGGTTTTGATGAATTTCCTCCTTAGAAAAAAAAGCCATGGGTATAAGTTGGAAAACCATGTGCAGAATTAAATTCCATCTCCTCTAAAAGCCATGGCCGTAGGAACCGGGGGGGGGGGCACGGGGGGGTGCCCCCCCCCAATAATTTTGCCGATATATAGAATACTATAGAAAACTTAGGTACTATATGCTTGTGCCCCCTCAATAAAAATGTCTGATGACCTTTTTTTTTTTAATTTGCTTGTCAAAGAATGTTTTAGTAGTTGATAGTGCCACCCCCCCAAACTGAAAATTTTTGGCTGCCCCCCCCCCCTCCCCACAGAAATTGCTTCGTAATTAATAATTATCATTATACACTAGTATATAAACTCTTTGTTTTCAAGAAAAAAAAAGTAT